AGTTAACTGTACCATAAAATAATGATGGCTTGGGCAACCATTGTAGATAAAAGGTTGAAATGAGAAACCATATAGGAGTCATTATTCAGAACTAATTGGCACCATTTAGGTATTCACCTAAATAGGCAAGGCCCAAGAATGTTCCTGAGGAGGAAATCAGCTCTCTGGCTTGAAACATAGGAAAGACATCCCACAGAGTTGTGAAATAAAGGGGACTTCTGATGAATAACTGTGCAGAAAGGCTGATATAATCATCTTAGTGATTAATGACTATTGATTAATACAAACTTCTCAGCCATCCTCAGGGTGAACTAAAAGTGATGGTTCTAGAGTACACAAACCCAGTGCAGTATCACAGGCCTAAAAAAACAAGTTACTAGCAAATTTTTTCATCACTACTTAAATGACAAAAACACTGAAAAATAGAAACATGCAACCAAATTTAACTGGTTATTATAGTGCATAGCAATGTAAACCTCTGGTTTGTAATCCAAAATTATACAGCTCAGTAGTAGTAATTTCATGCAAAAATAAAAACTCATATTTGAATAGAGAAAACTACAGGCTCTCTACTTTTTATGTCAAAGAGATCTAATGTAAGAAAAAATAAATTAATTAAATCAGATAGTATCTTGCTGCCATGAAATATTCCTGCTAACAAACATTGGAAATGGAAGAGCAACAACTCGAAGAGAAGCTAGAGCTGATGGACACAGACCAAGAAGAGGAAACACTTCTGAAGTTCTGGTCAATGCAGTGAGGGATTCAGGATGAAACCAAGAATATGCACTTTGAATATTGTTTCCTTGGAGAGTTATTTACAGCACTACACACTGAAAGAACCTCGTCTGCAAAAAATGACATTTCAGGTGTGTTCATTTCTGAGGGTAATGTTTCCTAACAAGAAACTCAGTATTTAAATCAAACAAATGTTTAACTTGGAAGAAACTTTTTATGGAACAATTAATATCTTTGTTTGATGTACATTATCAGAAAGAAACAACTGGACATCAAGGCAGTTTGTTGTGTAACTATCTCTGTTCTAGTTAATGCACAGATTTTAAGTGAAAAACAAGTCTTTGAACACAGGCCTGCAGAGACTGGAAATCAAGGGTGTGTGTGATACTGGCCTGACTGTTATCTTTGGCATGTGAGCCAGGAAAATAGTCCACCCCTATAAACAATGCATTCAACAGCCTCTTCTCGAAAATAAACAAAAAACCAAATTGATCTCCACCCTAAGGCACAAACACATCTGTAACAGGACACAGAGAGTTGAATGTGCAGAAAGGGAAGTTTTACCCTTCCAGTCCCTTCCCATGTGCTGTTCTAACAAAACTCCTTTTTCCCCAGTCTCTTGCCTATATTTACCATCTACTATGAACAGTATTTCCTAGCTTTTCTAAGCATTTATTAGCCTCTTTCCTAGTTGTTCTTCCAACTTAGCACTCTTTCCTCTCTCCTTTTCCTCACCTTGCTACTTTTTTCATCTTTAAGCAGAGCAGAACAATTCAAATGTAATGCCATGAAGAAGTACCTTCATTAGCTCTTTTACAAGGAGATCCAGAGTGGATCCCTAGTAACTGAACAAGGATGGACTTCTCCTGCCATCCTGTGATCCAAGCTTCAAAGGAGATAAAATTTTGCCAGTCTCAGATCATATTGGTAAAACTTTACATTACTAACTTTTTTCCTCAGGCATTTGGTGAGAAATATATATTACAGTCCTTAGCAGTTGCATATTTTCAGAGCTCACACAACTGGATTTCTCCCAAATTAGAAAAAAATTAACTATGATAACAGATTAGTATCCTGACTCACAGGCAAGGTTAAGATAAAATCATTTCAGGCTCCAGACACAAGCTTGGAAGGTCTCATATGTGTGGCATAAACAGAGCCAACAATGACTCATATTTACCAAGCACAATCCAAGCTAAGCAGGGCTAACTTTGCATTTTTGGGGTTTAAAATTGTAAGCTGAATCCCAGTTCTGGCTGGAATTGATTACTGCTATTTGGTCAAAGCCTTTTCTTTAATACAATCATTCATATGAAACAGATATATGAAGTTTCCCAAGTCAGAACTTAAATTTTGTTCTCAACATGCAATTCAGGAGCTGTGAAGAGACAATCTGATCTTGATTTCACCTCCATTATAATGGGTACTTATAATTTAGCATACTTGCAGTAAGACTACAAGAAGAACAATAATTTAATAGAAGAAGCCCTCAAACATGGCATCCTTTATATCCTGTGACCTAGTAGAAAACAACTTTAAAATTACACCAGTTAGACCTAATTAATACACCAGGTATCTTCCAAGATGCTGAAATGGACTTAGGGATAAATACAGAATTTGTTTCTGGAGGTAAAATTCTTGCATTAACCTGAAGCTCTACAAGCACAGCACACTGAAGGTATGTGAGCACACAGGTTAGGGAAGTGCTGAAGCCTGAGCATAGCAGCACTACCACTAGCTACAGCTGGATTTATACAAGATTTTAAGGATGAAGTGTAAATGAGACTTCTAAAAGTGAAAAGTAAGGATGAGGACAGCTGTGGGAGAAAGAAATGTCCAGGGAGGAAAGAGGAGACAGAAATAAGAACACTACAGTGTAACATTTACAGCAAAAATATCCTTTTAAAACATTCTAATAATTTAAAAATAGAATAAATTTCTTGGTGCAAACATAGAAATATGAAGGAAACTTGCAAGGGCTAACTGAAAATGAAATATGAAAGTAAGAACTGATATAAGAAATGGATAATGTATGTCCTTAGAGCAAAAGGACAAAACAAACAGCATAAAAATCAGGACAACTACAATAAATGTTGTTAAGGAAAAAAGAAAATGGATCCCAGCTGCTAAGCAAGGACTCGGTGAGGCCATTAAAGAACAGGAGTGGAAATTCAGTGACACATGATGTTGATATATTGCTGATGCCCTGAATAAATTCTTTGTCTCACAATCCACAAGAGAAGCTGAAGGTCACAGAAGGAAGTGTGGAATACATTTTCCAGTAGGAAAGTGAAATATGAACATATCTAAAGGTGACTCCAAGGTTAACAATTAGGAACCTATGATAATTAAAACCCAACCAAGTCACAGGTACAAATGGGATATCCCACAAGAAGTAACTCAGCATTGAAGAAAAAACCCAACAGTCTCTAATAGGGAAGGATTAAAGTCTAGTTAATAATATTTAAAGACTTCTTTCCTTCAAATTAAAATTGTGTGTGTCAGTAACTCTGGATCAATTTTCTGGTGGGAAGACAAGAGCTGGAAAGTAACTACAGCTGTGTAACAGACCAGACTATGATAAGAAAACAATTTCTGTAGAAAAACAAAAAAGAAAATAAAAGGAGAAAAATTAGAAGAAAATTTTGTAAGTATAAAAGATTCTAAAGGTAACCAAAGTAATCAAAAGAAAAGCAGCAAAGACATTCTGTGCTCTGAGAATTTAGTATTTCATTTGATATAGGAGTGGTGCTTGTAAGAGTTTGATATCAGACCAGTGAGAGTCATAGATGTATACAAAAAGAGAAGTGATTAATGCCTAGCAGTCTGCAAACTCAAAAGGCTAGAAATACGTATTGAAAAGTGAAGAAAATTAATTTGGAATATAAATATTTACTTAGAAAAAGTTACCAGTAAATTCAGAAGGCCCAAGAAAGAAGTTAATAGACATTATGATGACTCAGATATTGATCAGAGTTAACACTGGTATATTTAGTTTAAAACTCAGATTTCAAAACATTCTCTAGGCAGCTCCACTTCAGCAGGCACTTTCTCCTATACCTTTAGTACAAAAGCCTCAAAAGACAAATTTCTTTAGGGAAGAGCTAATTTCAGCAATATTGACAAACACCAATTGCTAATACTGCATTCAACCCCCAAACAGGTCATCTTTATAGATGCATGCACATTGGTTGTGGCAATACTATAAAAGTTGTTTTCAAACTTGCACATAATTGGACTACACCATCTCTTCTCTTTAATGACTGAATTTAGTTTTCAGATTTGTGTATGTTACTCTACAAAAAAAGCCCTAAACTCTTACATAGATTCTAGTCAAAATACCTGTTAAGTATTGCAAAAGAACATCTGAAAATGCTTTGACTTCAAATTTTGTCTTGTCTTTGTGACATTTGGGCAGCAAGCTTCAGAATTATCCAAGTACTTCACAGACCATAAACTTCACACTTCTACAGAGCTCTCATGAACTCAATGTTCAAAGCACTACAAGAAGTGCTGAACTCCAAAGTTAGTTTTAGCACTCAGAATAATCAATTCTAGTTCATTTAAATAAAAGGAGTTACTTAAACTCTTTGGGAAGTTAAAACTTCTCATGTACTTTCCTTCCCTCACCTGTCAACCACTGAGTGCAGAGACCCCAGTGAATCAGTGGGGAAAGGGATAAGCAAAGAGCTGTGCAGAAAGAGAAGAACAAGCAGAGTTTAAAGAACACCGAGGACAGAATGAAAAATGGCAGCAACAAAGTTAGCAGACACCTGTGAGGAGGAAATACTGAGCAAAAGTCTTGATGTTTGAACCCAATAAGCACCTCAAATTGAAAATTATTTCCTTTTGCTTGCTGCACCAAGGACCACCTGAATCTTTTAAATGACAATGGCACTAAGTGTCTGCACAAAATGCAAATATGTTATTTTATAAAGCCTGAAAACACCTGCTAGGAAAAAAGCTGTATTTTCAGGCACATACCTACATAAACATACAGGTGTATTTATTCATTCATATTTTATATACATACAAAACTACATGCATTTTTAGATGTATAATGACATATGTGTATATACGTATAAACATGTGTGGGCATGTAAACACACACACACACAACACCCAGTGAAAACTTAGGAAAAATTCTCATTTTTGTGTCTTAAATGATCAATCAAAATTTGTCCCTTGCAAAGCCACAGCCATTTCACAATAAACACATGAAAATTAAAAGTGGCTGGTTTAGAGAAGAAAAGAGCTCTTACCTGCTTCACCACTGTCACTGTGCCAGGTGCCATGGTAACGACAGAAGCCACTGCAGTGGCATCGTGGGATTCTGAACCCAGCTCAATGATCTGCTGCAGGATGTTTACAGCTGTTGGATCCAGTCTTTCACCTTATCAGAAAGACAACAGCTCTAAGATCATCACAGCAGAACAGTTCTGAGGCTAATCCAAACAGCCCTGACTCGCAGCGCTGTTGGTACAGTTCAAAAAGCTCAATAATGTGACACTTTAATAACAGATCTATGGCAGGGAAGTATTCACAAAACAAATTTGCCCAGGGAATGTATGAATCAGCAAGTGAAGCCACACTGATAACTTCTATGCCTATTTGAAACAGATCTAAAATTGAATTCATTGAATAAAGAAACAACAGCCACAAGTCATAGCAGGAGCTGCGAATTAGGAAGCTCCAAGACTTTACAAATCCAAATGTGTATTTACCAGACTTCATCTTACAGAGAACCTACCTGTCTACCTATAACCATAACAGCCATTTGGTATTTTAGAAACCTGTGTTTACCATCTGTCTGGCCCTCTGAAATACCCCTCAACCTGAATGAAGTACTTTTATCACTAACCTGCTGGAGGGAAAGGTTACTTGCTTGGGAAACTCATACTGATCATTTTATAAATACTGGATCAGAATAGGTCTATCCTTTTTAAAAAAATTCTCTGATGTGTGTAGCCCCACCAATGGAAAGGGATGTTTACAGAAAAACCCACACAAAAAATTTATAGTTGGAACTCTCACTTCTCACAGGGTGTGAAAGACCTTAATGCAGAAAAATGGTTTTTGTTATGTATGAATACAAATTCCCACCAATGGCCTACCATTCCTACATGCCCACTGTCAGCTGAGGGAGATGTGAGACAGGGAAAGAAACTGTCATGTAAAGCTGCTTATATTTGCTTTAATCACTGTCAGAGATAGAAAACAGATAGCAAGTAGAATAAATCTAATTTCCTAACTTAAACTCTTTCAGACTGATACTGTGATATCAGTCTAGGTCAGATAATTTAATTTCAAATAGAAAGTAGTTATATTTTGTTATTTATGTAAGAAACAAGTGTATCTGAGTACTGAAAAAGGCTTGCTTCCTTTGGGTGTTTTTTTTTCCTATTAAACTGCCTTTAGACAAGATACTACTGTTTTCATACTAAGAGGGAATATGCTGAAAGAGTAGCTGAAGTTGGATGCTCTAAAAAGATTACTCAAAAAACTGTAGTCTCATGCTTAAAGACTGTTATATACAGTACAATCCATGACAATATTTATTTTAATTTAGATATACAGAAGTTTAAGAGAAGTTCTCAAGAAGTTTCACTTATTCAGAATTTCCACTCATTAAAATAATATACAGAAACTGGTAGAAATGTAATTTAATTGCAACATGCTTGGAAAAATCCCTAAGTCTTTGACATGTATCTGTATTGTGAACTATAAGTACCACAATGGTGAACAATTGTAAAATGCTGTCTTCTGATAACCATGGCATTTATTTATATGTATTAAAAAAACAAAACCAACATAGAAACATCTACTCTAGTCTCTAGTGTTTTAACTCTCTCAGAAATCTGGGCTTTTTTTTGTTTTTTTCTCCTAGTTTTTGTTATTTCCCACTTAGCAGACATTATCTAATGCTACTCTTTTCCTCCTCAACCTGATACCAAATAGCTCACTTAGTTTTGTGTACTATAAAAATTGAGATTGTTAGTGCTGTGTTAGGAACGTGGTAAATGAGCTGATCCACCATGTCACTCCTGCAGGCTTGCTGACTAAAGCTAGAGAGGGAGAAAAATAATAGCTAGAGAATTGTCATTAGATCCACACCATCTACTCTGCCAAGAAAGCTAATTTCACACTATATTTAATAATATAGGCAGGAAACTCCACGCAGCTAATAATAAAGTGCAAAACAGGAAGTGATAAGTATTAATGACTTCAGGATATAGAAATTCATAACAAATTATAATTTCTCATTTATACTTAAAGAAAATATAGCCCCCAGAAATAAGTTCTGGATGATTTATTTTGTAATTTTTAATAGGAGATCACAGGAGGTCATATATTGCCCAGTACACTCAAAAGAATTAGATACTTTGGAAAATGAGGTGTACTTGTCTTCCAGCCTAGAAAAAGGTAACTTACTGCTCTCAGAAGTGTATCTGAGGTTCTGTAATGCAGCCACAGCAGCTTGAGTGCCTTGAACATCTTCTCCAGCCTCTGTGATATGGAGATACTGAGTGGATGCCTCTTCAGAAACTTCAGCAGTTAACTTGGAAACAAAACCCAGCCAAGGCATGAATAATCTCATTTCAGTGATTTAACAACAATAAGGAATGAGTTTGGACAACAAATACTGTAACAAGAGCTAGAGTGGGTGAAACAAGAATTCAAGTATTACATGGGAGACAGGATGATCATCCTGTCGTGTTCTTCTAGATTCTACTTCAAAAGTTGTTTTAAGGGTGCTAAGTTATCCTGACCTAATTTTTGTTGCTTATCTTAGTTATCTTAGAACTAACAATGGACCTGTACTGTACTGCAGTTTAGCAAAGACCTTTTGAGAAAATATATTTATAATGCAGATCTGCTAAAACACCTCAGAAGCTTGAAAAAAACTGGTATTTTGTTTCTGAAAAGTTATCCTTTCTGTAAACTGCTGTTTGTTTTTTTTCAACACAAGCTGTCAATATTGATTCCTGCTCTGATGGGACTCTTTCTTTACTGATTGCTCAGCAATAGAGACATTCTTGCATCCCAGATGTTCCCTTGTTGTCTGAGCTTTGGGCATTTACAGGTAAAGTGTACAGAGAAACATTTGGAATATAGATATAAGACTTTGAAGGACTACATTTTAAAATGCTTTTCCTGTCTTCTTTGAACAGCTGTCCAAATAGAACCTAGCCCAGTGTTTTTCAAGGACTTATCCTTCTGTGTGTGGATACTCAATAACTGTTAGACAAGACCTGCAGGTCAGCTCTTCCAGACCAGGCATTAGATTTGTCATGGGGGCCAGAATGAAACTTAGCAGAGGCCTAAAACTGTGGGGGTCAATCAGCTGAAGTTCACTCCTGGCTTTTTCCTCCTACTGGACTTCAAAATCAGCCTGTTTGGGCAGTGGGAGACACTGCTGGCTAACCATAATGTTTTAATAAAAGTGTCTGAATCTATAGTTTTCCCATTGATTCTGCATCTCCAGGATTGAAGCTGAAAACACAGGACATATCATAGGAGACTTACTCTGAATATGCATAACATTGTAATTTTTTCAGCTGATCAATTAAAAATATCAGTTTTCTACATTCTATCCTTCTCTGTACCAAGACATAAGCTTTTTTTTCCTGCAACTTTCCTCATCTTATAGTTAACACCAGTGAATATTCAGCATATTACAAAATGCACTAAGTTTTTCAATGTCACATTTCTTTGCTAAAGCTTTCACTCTTTATGCTGTAAATAGAGGACTAGAAGCCTAAAATGCAAAAATAAGCATTTCTGAGTCTGCTAGCCCTACCAGATATTAAAATTTAACAGACACAGCAAACCATCTATTCAAACAAAGATAAGATCCCATGACCTTCTGATCTTACATAAAGTCAGAACCACATTTTTTTTACACTTCTTATTTTTATCCTTACTTTTCTTCCCAGAATTTAAAAAAATCTTAGGGTCAAAGCCATTGTTATTTTGCTTTACCTCCCATTTGGTCTCCCCATCATTCTCCACTAACTTCATTCCATGCTTGTTTTTAAGATGTCTGTTGAACTCCCATTTTGTACCGTACACAAAGCTGCAAACAGGACACTTAATGCCACCTACAAGGAAACACAAATAAATTCTTTGAGTTATTTTCATATAAATTCTTTTTCAATGTAGTAACAACCTGTTTAATTTGACCCCACCACAGTCAAGCAATGTAACTGCAAAATGTTTTCCTTTAGCTATTTGTCCAATATTAAATATGTTAATATTTACCATACACATCAGGGGCATACTTTACTGATATTATTAAAATGTATCTTCTCTACTAAGACACCTATTCTAGTTTTCTCAAGTTTCAAAACAAACATTGTTACTGTTTTTTCTACATTTGCAAAGTAAACTAGGAAGAGTTAACAATGTAATATTCACTTCACCTAAATATCTTTGCTCTTGAGTTTTATGTTAACATGCAAACTGTAAATAAAGTTTTCTGTCTACAAAACTATGCACAGCATGAAGTTAGCACAGTGTTTAATATTTGAGTGTGCAACATTACAGGTAAAAATCTAAGCATGATGACACCATGAGAATCCAATTTTTTATACAAGATTAAAGAGCTTTTTACTTCTTTTGCTTATGAGAGTCTTTTGGTCAAATGTCAGATCTTATTTGCTTGTAATTATGCAAATAAGTATTTCTCTTTTTTCCCCTCTGTTGACTAAAGAGAACAAGAATAAGCTGCATGTGATAAATTGTTGCATTAGGTGACCAGAACTCACTGTAACAAATCTAATGGCTGGGGAAGTGCCTTATGCCACTGCCACAGGTCTGACTCCACATCATGGTGGCAAAAGATGATTCTCACCCTCATGTTCAAAGGTATCAAGCAGACTCACAGAAACTCCTTATAAGCCAAGGTTGCACAGTCCTTTATCAACAAATTGATTAGTAAAAACATCCCATTTAACTTTACAGGAAAGCTACAATGTGGTAACCAGGTGAAAAGAAACAAATTTTTTTATTTTTTTTTTTTTTATAAAACAGAATGTAACCACACTCAGTCTCTAGGGTATTTTACTGACACTTATTGTTACTATACTAACCCTTCTCTTTGCTAGGTCTTTACTAAACTTCACTGTTAGAGCAGATGCCCAATATTCCATCCCTATGTAAAACTGAAGCAGTTTGACCAAGGGAAACTAAAAAAGTTCAGATTAGAACAGATTAGATTAGATAATATTATCAGTTACAGAAAATGAAATTGCACATCAATTTCACACCAATCTGTAGTATTAGGAAAAACACATTGCTGTGGAACAGTGAACACTTTAATGCATTACTTTGATATCAAAACTATTTTAACAACACACCAGGTAAATTAAATCTGTAGCTTTTGTCATTATGACTTTATAACAGGTAATAGAAGCCTAGAATTCAACTGGTAAAACATAACTCCACATCAATGACTTGATATGGAAGCTCAGAAAAAATAATTTCTAGATAATTCTTTACAATAATGGGTAACACACAGGGAAAGTCAATGAATTACACACCTTTACTACTTTTATAACAAAACTGATGTTTGTAACAAAACACTGCAGGCAGATCTTACATAGCTTCACAACTTTCTTCTACTGACGTGTGCTTTTTTATTTATTTATTGGCCTAAAATCTCCATAAAACAAATCTCATTTTTGTATAAGGAAAGCACATGATGACATCTATAAAACAGAACACTGGGGCCACAACTGGATCCTCATGTATGGCCTGCACAAGTAGCTGCAAAAACACAAATGAAAATCTGTCTCTCAGACACGTAAACAAAATGTTTATGGATGGAAAGGAGTATCAATGAGGAGAAAAGAAACAAATTTGGGAAAAATTGTATGTGACTTGCCCAGCATACAGCAAATTAAAGTAAAAAATAAGCCATCAAATGAGCACATAGATGGGCATTGCAGAAAAACTAGTGGGTAATACATAATATTCTTGCCCCCTTCACAGAATATATCAAATTCTTATGCTATTTATTTTCCTTTATTAGTTTAAAATACTAAAATAAATGTCATATCATAGACTTCTACTTAAACAAAGAAACACACACACACCCTGCAAAATCCCAAGCATTTCTCTGCTCCTGGGTGATTTCAATTTCTACCACAAGCCCAGAAATTAAATACTGGTGTCTATCCTTGGCAATGCAGTTGCTCCAATGAGCACGGTCCCTCTTCTATGAATCATTCATTTATTTATAAGCTCATTCTAGGAATCTTGAGTACAGTCCAGCAGTCTACATTCATATAAATATTTCCAATTAAGTTTATTTGCAGTGTCTGCAATGAAGTCAAAAACCAGCTGAGAGTAGAGGAGATGAGCAAGTGTGAGGCAATTCACTCTGGGCTCAGCGGGTAACTTAGAACAAACAGAATACAATTCAAACAGATATAGACAGATTTCATTAGATATTAATCTTTGTTACTTTCCCCTTTCAATTTCTTTTCAAGCCTTTTTGCTTGCTGGTACTCTCTCCTTTTCCTTTTCATCTATATTCCCTTCATTTCAAAGGATTTGTTTAATATCAGGCCTGAAAGGTCTTCTTCCTTTATATGAATACATGAATAATTTTCCAAAATTGCTTTTCAGATCTCTGAATAGAGTAAATTGAAACTAAATAGACACTAGTCAGACAGCAAGGTGCAACTTCTGATCCAAACAGCTCAGAAACACAAAATCATCCAAAGATTTGGGTTGGAAGGGACCTTAAAGATCATCTTGTTCCAACCCCCCTGCCAATTGCCAGGGACCCCTTCCACTAGCCCAGGTTGCTCAGGGCCCCATCCAACCTGGCCTTGAACACTTAGAGGGATGGGCATCCACAATTTATCTGGGTAACTTGTTCTAGTACTTCACAGTAAAGAATTTCTTCCTAACATCTATTACCTTGTATGACACCCAGGTATCATATATGACCAATGTGATTTGTCATCCTGCATAACGTGTCTGTTGTAATCTGTTTGTGCTGTGTGAACCAAATACAAAAGACTGATATTGATTCTGATTTCCAAATCAGGAGAACTTTTATTAACTTCAATAGGATTCATGTTTATCACTTCCAAATGCAAATGTCTTCCACAAGGAACAATTCTTCCCCCAGTGAGATACCAAAACACTGAGAAAAACTGATGTTTCTATAGCATGATATGGAATCTCTGCTCTTATTTGGAGCCCAGGTGCAAGAGCCATCTGATGCATCACAGAACAGGAAACTGAGTTGGCAAAGGAAGCTGCATGTGGGAAAATTACACCTATTAATACAGCTTTCTTCATTATAGAGCCCTGAGAAGAGACACTGACTTCATAGCTCCTACATGGATTTGATGCCTGTGTGGCAATTTGTGCCTGATATGGAAAACAGGCACAGCACTACTGTCAGCACAGGAAATATAAATGCTGTGTAAGGAGAGGAAGAGAAAGAAGGATGCAAAGTCAGAGATGAGAAGAACAGAATAAGCTGTTTTATTTGTAAGGGACCTACAAGGACCACCTAGTCCAACTGCCTGACCAATTCAGGGATGACCAAAAGTTAAAGATGTTGTTAAGAGCATTGCCCAAATGCCCTTAAATACTGACAGCCTTCAGGCATTGATAACCTCTCAAGGAAGCTTGTTTTACTGTTTGACCACTCTCTCAGTAAAGAAATGCTTCCAAATGCCCAGTCTAAGCCTCCCAGCTACAGTTCTGAACCATTCCAACATGTTCTATCACTGCATCCCAAGGAGAAGAGCTCAGCCCCTCTCCCCTTCCCTGCTCAGGAAGCTTTTATAGAGCAATGAAGTCACCCCTCAGCCTCCTCCTCTCCAGACCAGACAAGCCCAGGGTCCCCAGGTGCTCCTCACAGGACATGACTTCCAGCCTTGTCACCATCTCTGCTTCCCTCTGGATACAGCTGTGAACCTTCACATCCTCACCTGGTGGGTCCCAGCCCTGCACTCAGGGCTCCAACGCTGAGCACAGCAGGATAATCCTCTCTTTTCCTGCCTGGACATGTTGTGTTTAATGCACTCCAGAATGGGATTTGCCCTCTGGGCTGCCAGGGCTCACTGCTGGCTCCTGGAGAAGTGCTGCCAACCAGATCCCTGTCTGCAGGGCTGATGTCCCCCCCTTAGACTAGTGCCAGGCTTTACTCCATCCCAGGGGCAGAAGCTGACATTTGAACTTGTTAAATTTCATCCTGTTCAATGTTCCAATGTGGTGGAAAAAGGATATTCACCACAGAAAAAAAGTTAAAGACTTTTCTCTCTCATCTCACTACAATGTCTCCATTTTAAGGTTACTCTTGCATCTCAACAACTTCACAGCTCTTTAATTTCAGTGAAAAAGAATTATTTTCAGAAGTGCATTTATCTTGCTCCCAAAGGGGAAGGAAAGCCTAATCAGCATAAGATTAATTTTCTTTGTTCCAAACATTGCAAGTATGATCCCTAAATTATACTAGGAGAATTCATTCTCTCATATCTATTCCTAAGAGTGGCTACAGACAAATAATTCCTTGCAGTGCTCAGATATTTGGAAAGTTAAAGTTCCCCACAGTGAAGAGTTCTTCCTTGATCTGGGTGACTACAAAATAGAGGCTCTGAGTAGTGACCAAGCAAATATTACTTCCTTAAAACAACTACAGGTTCCCCATGGACTTGTTCTGTCTGTGAAAATAATCGTAAAATTATACTAGATATTTCTACCCTGTTATAGATATTTACTTTTAAAATTATTTGGTTTTTTTTTACAAAAGGGAACAAAGAAATGTTACATAAAACCAACACAGACTCAAATGACTTATACATACTTATTATTACTTAGTTATATATTTTCCCCTTATAGAGCAAGTTTAAAGGGAGTCTCAGACTGAGTTATCTTTCTCTGTGTCATGATTTAGATAAATGTTATGTGTTAGATTAATGATTTGGAAATAGCATTTAGAAATAATGTAACCTTAGAAGAATTAAATTTAATTCATTATGTAATACAACAGCATTATTTTGGTCTCTATTCCTCCTCAACAAAATCAGAAACTGAAGATTCCAAAAGATGAAACTGTCAGTAGTTTCTCTTCAAAAACACGGAAAACACTTTCTAAAATTGTAAGTAACAAAGAAGGAAATTTAATTTTACCAAGAATTAAAATATTTACTACACAATTTAATATTTAATCTGGCTTTCTTCTCTTCTTGCTCAATATTCCTCACACCAGGCACCAGAACTGAAGGAGCTTTACACCCAAAAATGTACCTGCCTGTATAATCAGTTGTTTGCTTTGGTTCATCTACCCAATGTGTAACAGCAAAACTACTTATGGAAGTCAGACAAATTTTAAATTAGACTGTTAAGATTTCTGTTATACTACTAATAAATTCTTAGCTTACACAGAGAGGCTGTGCTTCCTTTTCCCATGAATAAGATTCTGAACATAACAATTCCTAACCTGTTTTACCTGTAATCTCTTTTCTCCCCAGATTTTTCTAGTGGGGGGAATAATTTGCTACCATTTACTCTTCAGTCTCTTTCCTTATGTTCCTCAACCTTACCTCAAGGAGTTCAACCTTGCAGAATTGTCACAGAAATTCATCAGCAGAATGGTAGAAATTTATCATTCATTTCAACATAGAGTGATATTTGACTTACAAAAAGAGACAAACAAGTGTAAATGATAAATGTATGCAACAACAAATAGCACAGACAAGGTCAAACAAAACTTTGGTTCCCACACCCTTAAAAACCAAGAACAAAGGACACTGAATGAAGGGTAAAAGGTGACTATTTCAGAATTACTAAAAGAGAATAATGATTTATCATGTAGCACCCAGTAAACCAAGGAACACATACTGCACAGAAGTTTATCTTCACACCAAGTTTGCTTCAGCAAAAAAAAGCCAAACCACCCAACAAATCTTGTATGGTGGAGATGTACCTTGTTGGATAAGAGCTTCAGCTGCAGGCTCCCCGGACCCTGCATTGACATACTCTTCATTAGGATGCTTCCTGTTGTAATGCCTCTTCAGGGAACCAGATATATTGCAGGAATAGTGGCAATGTGCACAGCGGAAGGGCTGGGAGCAAAAAGGAAAATGTTGGACTATATTTCCTCACCTCTTCAGGATATAGGTCTTAACTGCAATGTTTTGATACCAATAAACCATGTTGATTTCTGACTTGGGCATCTTTCAAGGAAACCCTTGAAATTTCAAAATAAATTGAAGTTGTAACTAAACATTACCTAAATTTGGTACTTTTTATTATGTGCGAGAAACTAAGTATTCTCACTATTACAAGATTGTTACCCAGTTTTTGTAATTCAGTAAATTGTGTGTTTTCATAATTGATGATAACAGATTTGACTATGTGGAGACTCTCTGCTATGAAATGATTCAGCTGCTGTGAGCTCTGGTCTGAAAAAGGGCAGCAAGACAACTAAAATAACTGAAAGTACAACATGACTGTACAGCCAATCTAATTTAACAGGTTTCCTTTCTTTTCCTTTTTTCCTTTCCCTTTTCCTTCACCTTTCCCTGGCATTTGCATTTCTCTGACCATTTTTTGAGCTGATTTGGGCAATTATATTAATTAATTTTTTAAGAACATGTCTCTCTTCAACTGACAGAGAGACAAATTCCTAAAGAAAAAAAAAAAATAGGAAAACAAACATTTGAGCCTAAAGCTACCCTTTGATAATAACTTTCTGACTGAGATGTATCACAGTTATAGGATGCTTGACACCACTATTAGGTCCTGTAAAAGCATGCAGACGTTGACCAAAGTCTTCAGGGAAAAGTCAAGTATGTCAGAATAGGATGGAAAATGTTTCATGAACAGCAGCCCCACCTAAAGCTCCTCAGCAGAAAATGGTTGGTACAGAAATGTTCATCTAGGAGCTGAATTTAAGGCAGGGAAATGTCTGCAGTCAGGGTACATTGATTAGAACACTCTCCTAAGCCCATTGCTCATAATCTTCTTTCAGGCTCCAAACAGAAAAAGAAGGAAGAAAAGTGATGTTCAGACTCCCTTAACCTTATGCTTCAGAGGGTACTGTAACATTCAGCTACTCAGTATTTTAGAGATGCATACTCTCTTTCCATTGCTAAATCTGTCATTTTTTAAAGGAAATAATCCAGACAGACTGCTGTGCTCTTGTAGCACTCACTTGTGCAAGTCATGCATGTTACCTCAGGATTGCAAATTCATGGAGCTGGGAAACGATGGATTAAAGGATCATTAGGTCACATAAGCAGTGACATTTCTCTGAGTCTGAGCATCCAAACAACTGTCCTAGAAGGGGATAAATATTTTCTCAACTCCTTTAAACAAATACTCCTGACTGATCTAATCCAGTGTTCAGATCTCTTGACGATCTCTTGAATTGTCACAATTCTGTATAGGCAGATCCCAAGGTCACACCCAGCTATATTTCAAGAACTGCACTGTGAGTACATTTATTACTTTAGCCATCAAAAAAGGAAAATTATGTATTTTCATTTACAAAAAAATCTTTTAAGAAATTTAAGTCTGCAGAAAAACCACCTACTTAAGACTGAAAAATTATTTGCTCAAAATGTATCATTTCTTCAGATGACTTGTTTTGTCTTCCAAAACTTAAACCATCATTGAAAAGACAGCTTGCCTTGCTGCTTTATGGTACTTTTTAAGAATGTCTGCAGTGTACTCTTTATAGAAGCAAAATGATCTGCTAGATAATGAAAGATGTTCCATAGGAAAATGTAACATCTTTTCTGGAAAAGGAGCCAGTATAATTCCTATTTACAGAATATAACATTTCACAATGCATTACATTAGGACTTATCACACTGAGAACCAATGTGAAATTCAGAAATAAAAACATTCTACCATTTATAAAAATAAACTGTATCTCTAATCTTAGTACTTCAAAAAAACATTAACAATTTTCAAAACTCTTTCCAGTGCATGTTTCAAAACTGGGGTGTTTTAAAATTAATTCTCTTCAATTTTCTTCAAGTATGTGAACTCAGTTATAGTACAAGAGACTGGCAAATTTCAGGGAAAATGAACATGGGCAATGAACAGTGATATAAGGTATTTGCTTTCATACCTCCCTAGGACATTTTAAGGTACATATTGGATTCACTCAAGTACTGACAATCAAACCAAATAAAATTTGTTTCATATTGCAACATACAGATATTTTTGTCAAGTAAAACTACTAACTACAAATTGGTCATGAACAAAATAACCCTATCTTGAAAGTATGAAGTCAAAACTTCCAAAATATTAAAATGTTTATACACTGTTAATTGCCATCAAACAAGAAAATGTGTCAGTTTTAATACAGTTATCTAAAGTTCTGTGTATTTACTAATAAGTTTAAGCGTGCTTTATATGTTTTCTTACCTTGAAAGAGACGTGTTGTTCCATATGACGTAGGAGCTGTGGTTTCTGGGCAGCTGTATAGTCACACACTGTGCATTTAAACTGCTTTCCTGCAATGGGAATAGGAAATGGAATAATTTGTTCTATTTAAGTGCAGAAAACTACTGATTATACTTCCTCATAAAGATAAATTCAAAAATGCTAAGAATGAACAATGAACAATATGAGAAGTCTGGCACTTGCTCTGCAAAGTTTTGGTTAAATAGAGCTAAGAGCAGACTAAGGGAGGAAAAAAGGCTCAAGTGTAATCTTTAAGTTATAAGCATTAAATTCTCTGGATTCTCCTGGGATAGTCACTTGGGAAAGAAGAAAAGGAATTGTTACAATGTACCCTAAATGGAAGAAGGAAATCCATTATTTACAACTGCAGGCACAGCTATTTTGCTATTTGTAAAGCACACTTGGAAATCCTTAAAACACCAATGTTTGATCATGTTCACATGGGTTTAGTTATTTCTGTCCAAAGCACTGAATTGCTATGATTCAAATACATTTTCCCCTCATAGCAGTCTCTCTCACTAATCTATTTTTTCCCTTATGATTTAAATGAACACAATTTCCTTCCTTTTATTCACTGGGTTTCACACTCTTTCTCCTTATTTTGCCTCTAAGATTCTATCAGTCTGGCTACCTCCAGCCAAATTACAAGGTGCATTAAATACAGAAGGACTTCATTCCTGAATTAAATGTGCATGGCTAGCAAATTATATTTGACTGATGTGGAATAAAGATAGGCTAAAAACTACTCCAAAGGAAAAGAACCAAAAGGTAAAGTAGAAGTACAATAGATAATATTCTGTATTATCACAAAGAGATGGGGTTTCTTTAGATTCCAGATGCTGACGAAAAAGGTAAAAAGCATCTTTACTAACTGTGAAAGTTTCTATAAAACCTGGCTAAGAAGAACCTTCTGGGATCTAAATAAAATAATGAAAATCAGGCTTTCTGGCTTACTTCTAACCACAAACAGTAATGACCCTGGACTACAGAATTGCTTTCTACAATGTTACTCTTGAGACGTCTGACTTCTGGAAAAGAATAAATCAGACACAAAACTACTTTATATTCCACTACTTGAATTAGCATTGCAGGGTTCTGATATTTGAACAAAAATTGCTTGGATTCATAAGTCATGAAGACAAGACTCATAAACAGTGAAACAGCTTTCAAATTCATTTATTTGTGAAATGACTGAAGTACACTTAGATGTGTGCTGCTAGGAACTTTGGCAGTGCTGTCACTACAGGAAGGGACACTGGGCAAAGAGAAACTGTCACTCAGGAGGCTGAAAGTCCCCTGACAAACCACATTCCTGGTCACTAATGTCCTCTTCCTTTTTCACAAGTGTTTGAAATGCATGAAAAGTTTGTTGGGGTTGATTTAGTGAGGAAAATGACTTAAGACTCCACAGACAGTGAGATCCTACTTCCACGAGAGCCAGGTAAAACTCACCTTCCAAAGGTACTGGGAATTTCCTGGAACAGTTTTGGAAGTGTGAAAAGCAAGGCAAAGGAGCCTAAGTCTTGGATTTATTTGTACCAGTCAAAAATGGAGGTTCACCAAAAAGGAACACAGAGTCATGGAATGGTTTGGGCTGAAAGGGACCTTAAAGGTGATCTTGTTCCAACATCCATCACCCCTGTGAAGGGCTGGGACACCTTCCACTAGAAGTCACTGGAGTTATTCCAAAAGACAATGAGTTTGAAGCCAGATAAAGAAGGCTCCTGGTATTAACAATGCCTCTAGAGACAAGGTTTCAGCCTGACCTAGCAGTAACTTATAAAAGAACACAGTTCATCACAAGGACTTAAACGTTTAAAGTTAACTTCAAACTTTTAAACCCAACCGAGACATGGCAAGATGCTGCTCAACTATAGTGCTACTCTTAACAAAACCAAATTTCAAAGCAGCCTCAGATGAATTGCTGTAATGACTTACAGACACACAGACTTGCTCAAGAAACCTAACACACAGGTGAAAAGAAATTCAACTTTCATTGCTGAATTTCACTATTTGATCATGCCAGATGGCGAAAACAAAACAGAAAGGTTTTGAAATGAAACCCCTTGAAGTGATATTTTTTATTATAGGGCCATAGAAAGAAACCTCATCATGCTTGAAATTTTCTTTTCATTCAAATACAACTTGCCTCTTTCTGCTAGCCAGGAAGCAGCTGAGGTTTGCATTTGGTAAGTAAAATGTTGATTCTTGCATATTAAGTTTAGATGCATGTGCCAGACCTACTTGTTACTGATCAAGTCATTTCAAAATATTGGAAAGTACTTTCTGAATAACAAGTGATTTACTAACACACAAAATTTCTGCAATAACTTTGGTAATAAAACGATAACTTATAATCTTCCTGTCAGATGTAGCATAGTGATGTAAAAGGGATCGTCTCTTCCACTTGAACACACAGACATAAGCATTAAAAACATCTCTGACACAGAAACTTCAAATATATTCTAAAAATGTAACAGAACATTGTGTGCTTTCTCTGAAGATGCAATTAAAAAAAAAAAAAAAGAATGTAAATTAAATGGTCAATAAAAAGTGGAATGAGGTTCCACACAATTTCATGACTAACAAAGATCAAGCCAGTAAGTCATAATGAAGGTCTGTACAACTTATCCTGCTAAATAATTTACTTCAATATAATAATCACAGAATAACAAAGTATTGTTGTGCTCTAAACTTTGATATAAAATGGGACACTTTTCTGGATATGCATCTTGCTTTTTTCACTTATCATAACAGAAATATTAAAATTGCAGGGCAAATGAGATGCTGCATGTGAGACAGAGTAGAGAGCAAGTGCCCAGGTTTGCCACTGGCTGATGAGACAGCAGGATCCTAATAATATTTTCACAGAATAAAACAGTAAGACTTAAACACAGAATTACTGGCATTTTCAAATTTCTATTGAGATAAACAATTTTCTGTAAGAACAAGGAAGGCATACAAAGCCAACACAAATTTCAGAGAAACGTAGTATTTCAGAGACAGCAGTCTGTCTTTCACAGAAATTAATTTTGCAAAGTTTTGAATTATTTCCCAAAGCTGTCTCCTGGGAATAAATAAAATCTGTAAATCACACTTGAGTGATTTCACTTAACTGAAAAGCATTTGTTAATAAGGCCTGTAGTACAGTCAATATTTATTGTCCTAAAATAGATTTAATAAACATGCACTTACCATCAGCAGTATGAAGGAGTTTATGGCTCTTCAAAGTGCCTTTTGATTTGAACTTTTTCCCACACATATCACAAAGGTGGGTTTTCTCCGTGCTGTGACGATTCATGTGGGCTTTCAAGTTGCTCTTGCTGCGAGTGGCATACTCACAGAGGGAACATTTGAAGGGTTTGACACCTAAACATGAAAAAATATACCATGAAACAGCCAGACTGTGCCTTTCCATGAGAGGGTGGACACTTACTTGAAAGAAATCTCAGATCATGTAAGCAACATGGACTAAGAGAAACACTTCAAAATTTGTATCTCAACAAATAAGACATTTCATCTATAGCTTCTGTGTAAATGACACTGAGCTCATGACAGCATCACTTAACCTCTTAAGATAAAAGAGGAGTTCCTTCACAATTGAATATTGCCCTACTGAAGCCAGGTACTGAGTTTAGCCAGGAAAATGCTGATATTTGGGCCTTGCTATTCCCACCCTTCATTTAGAAGTAAAATCCAGACCGCCTACATTGATGCCAAGCTGGTGTACGTCTCCCTCTAGAAGTCTTCAGGTAACCACCACTCTCCATTTATTACAATCAACAGTGAAGAAACCTGTTACAAGGACTGCTTCATTAGGCAGTTAACATGAAAGCAGAAGTTAAATGTGCAAGCTGTATTTTATCGTTAATTAGTGTCAGATTTGCTAATGGTTCAGGCAGATACAAGCACTTGAAACTTCACTTCCCTCAAACTGTCCAAAGCACACAGAGATATCTCCAGTGCATCATCTAACAGAAGGTCTATAAGAACAAAGTAAATCCTTCAAAGAAAAGCTGAATAAATCTGAACTGGCAACAGTTCAACAGTTTCATGAGGGTCTGCGCATTTTACATTGATACTCATGACCTTAAAATTAGATTTACAAGCATGAGAAATTACAGTCTGCTTTAAGCACACTTGATTGCACACTTTGATTTGGGAAGAAATTTCTAATCACCTCTTTCTCCTGCTTGTTAGATGACATGGGCTCCCAATTCCAGCCAGAATAAAAGAACTCTGCCCACGGAATACACAAGGTTGTTTCTCTAGCCTTGCTACACAGGCAGGAAAGCCCACAGAGCATTCAAACAAATATGCTGTATTGTACCTATATGGGAACAAACACTTTGGAAACAAGATACCAGTTTGAGAGCACCAAATCCCATTATCCCCTTTATGCAGAGGGATTGCTGAAGAACCTAAAATCACAGGCAATCTGTTCTATAGATTACTAAGGTGACTAAAGACCATGTAAGTTGTCTTCAACCTTTTATAAAAAAATATACAGACTGAGTAGACACAAAATTTTACTGCCTAAAGATTTTAAATTCAAGGCATTTTTAACCCACCTGTTGCCATATTACTGGAATTTCTCCCAAAAAAGTCTTAAATATGATGAGCATTATCTTAGGGGATTTTGATCACAGTCTGTGTCTGTGGAAGCTAGCTGCCATGCTCTGCAGGATTTAATCAAAACACCCACAGAATTTACATCAAAGCAACTGGATTTCAATTGGTTTACTAACAGATTTCCAGACCAAGGATTTTTGGACAAATGTAAAAGGACCAGCACAGACTCATAAGAAGATACATAAAATTACTTGTTTTAAAATACTGAGCATGTATTTAATTCACTCCTCTTTACTCACATAGAATACTTTATAGATGTTTATGAATGAATTTTGGAAAAAAAATTGCATCAGAATTTAATTAATTTTTATAAAACATTTAATCTGTCTGTTCATGTTCTGAGTGTGAAGTTCCATATGTGATCCAGAATCCATTAAACTAATTAATTAACCTCCAATGTAGCCTAAAGTCTTGCATTTGAGTATAGAAACAAACTTCAATCTTTTTTTTTCTATGTCAGCAAAGCTTCAGTGGAATATGAGACTCATTATATGCCAAAAGCTTAAAACCAGAGTTTTACCTTCATGAGCCCAAATATGACGCTGAAGGTCTGAACCATTCTTCATAAAATAAAAATCACAGTGGGGACATTTCACAGCTCGTTTTCCAATAAGTCCTTTCAGCTGAACTCTTCTGCCAAGAATCTCAGAAATAGTTGTCATTGAAACCTCTGAGAGAAATGGAAAAGATAGTAAGAACCAGAAGGATATGAGAGAATTTACTTTGTAATTAATCTTGAAGAGCTTGATCCTGATTCAGTTCAACTTTTAAAAAGCTGTATTTCCCTTACTCCTACTCAAAACTGACTTGAGCAAAGAGCACAAGGACCTGTTTTTCCTTTAGGCCTTCTAGGATGCTCTGTCCTTTCTCTCCTGATCTGTGAATTCACTGTCCTCACTGCCTGTTTGAAAAAAAAAAATAAAAGTTTAAATATAAAAAAATTTGGTTGGGCCACTGGCACAAAAGATCATTTTATTACTATGACCCTTCCCCATAAGCTAAATTGGCACTTTTTTCTTCCAATATTTTCAAAAGTTTTATTCAAGATTTCACCCTACATTTCTAGATATCAAGGATCCTAAGACTATTCACTTCAGTCACAGCTACAATGGTCAGAATGCTGATAATCAGGAACTTTAAAGGAAAAGCCAGGCTCATGGAATAAATATGACTGTAAGGGACCTCTAAGGTCACCTTCTCCAAGCAGGGTCAACTTTACAGTTCCATTTTCAAAGTTACATCAAGTTGCTTGGGGTTATATTCAGTCCTGCTCTGAACACATCCATGGATGCAGATTCTATAGCCTCTCTTGGCCCATTCCAGTGTTTAACCATCTTTACACTCAAAACTGTTTTCCTAGTTCTAGTCAGAATCCCCTTGTTTCAACTGATATCCCTTCACTGTACAGCTCCAAGAAAAATCTCCCTCTGTCTTCTTTTTAATTAGATTGCCAAGACAGCAATTAAGATTCCTCTCCTGTCCTTTTCTTATTCAAGCTAGACACTCAATTCTGTGTATTTCCTTCATATGAGATAATGTTTTGGTTGTCACAGTGAAAAAGTTCAAAATAATGAAGTTTAAATTAAAGTGGCCCAGACACATAATGAAAACATTGCCAGATGCTTTTAAAAATAAATCAATTGCTCAATACATGTCAGATGAATGAAATGCTGTCTCTTGACTTAATGAAAGTACAACACTCATGCAATCTAAACCTTAAGACATGAAAGCTGGTGACATATTATGCCACAAATCTTATAAATTTGAAAGTTCCTGACTAAACTTAGATTTTTACCAAATTCACCTTGTCTCCTGACGATCGGTCCCAGAATGGAATCACAAAAATCCTGCCTGAACTCACATGCACAGGGAAAATAACCTCAAAAGCTGACTGTAAAAGCCTGTGAACTGAGCAGAGATAAGTGCTAAGGTACCAAAAAAAGATAAATACAGCCAAAAGTCTGAACCCTCATCTGCCTTTCATGGCTTAGATGCTTCATTCATGACTGCAGGCTAGGATGTCTGCTCAGTGGGGAGCTATGGAAGCTGATGCCTCTCATGTCTCAGAACTATTAAGAAATATCATATTAAATCAGACAGTGGATGAAAGGTAGATAATTCTGGGAGCTGGGACCACAACCCAAGACTCCTCCTTCACTGCTGAGTAAAAAATCATTGGGCAATAAAGCCAAGCTCTCTTATCTCTTTGGTTTGAAATACTGCTCTACCAAAGTCTATGGAGATTTTTGTCTCACAGCCTTCATGGGACCAAAATTCAACTCCGCTGCAAATATAGAAAAGAAAGGAGTACTTTTTGATTTCATACTTTCTACTTGATGAAAGCAAAGAGACAAGGGAGTGGGGCATGCTGAATGATACTAAGAAAGGAAGGAGAGGGGGAGTTATACAAATTACATTTGAATGATAAATATGAAGGTGTTTCAGTTTAAATTAATTTTTGATATGTCGTTTTAAAATTCAATTCCTGTTAACAGTACCTGTCTTTCCTTTCATCTTTATTCATTTTCATTTACATTTTTGAAAACAACTGCACTCATGCCACTGCAGTATTTAATAGCTTATACTGTCAGACCCCTCACATTTATTTGGTTTGTAACTAAGTATGGTGTACAACTAAAGGATTTCTTCCTGATTACGAGGAGAAAATTCACAGAAATAAAAAAGGTTTGTGCATTAATTCTCCTCCATATATTAAAACAGGGTCATTGCATAACTATTGCATAGGCATGTCTTAGATGTAGTATTTCTTTAGTACCATAGAGATACATCTAATAAATCAGCTATTCTGCCTTTAAGCTCTATGTGCCTGTGATACATGAATGAAAAATGAAAACACGAAATAATAGTGCAGATTATCCTTTTAAATCTTACTTCTATTTTAAGAGTTCAAAAGACCCACTTGGATAAAAAAAAAAAATATTTAGAAAGATTCAGATACCAAATTAATTGTTCAGGAGTGTTTAAATGCATGAGTTTAGTACTCCAAGGCTCCAGAGTTAACTGGTATTTCTGGACCTTGATGCAGCACACAGTGATCAGTCAGCAGCCAGTGGGCCAGTGCAGGCACAGAACATCAGGTCCTGCCAGCTCACAGGTCCTGTTACTTAGGAAAGCCTCCTATGCTCCCTGCCTGAGGCAGCACGAGGGCTTTAAAGGCACAGTTCTTGAGATTCAATTTCTGTGCTTACTGGTGTTATACCTCCTGACTACAGTATAGCTCAAAAGCCTTTTCTCATCTCAATTTCCTGCATCAGACATGTCCTCTGACGTACGACAAGCCCTCCAACCACACTGCTCTGGAGTGGTCTGCAAATAAAGAGGTTTAGTAACTAAAGAGCTGAAGTGGGAGTTCAGGATGAAATTAAAGTGAAGGAAATTGTTTAAAACACGAGTCTAGCACTATCTAGTGGCAGTAGGAAGATAAAATACTGTTTTACCTATTATGCTGTACATCTGACAAGAAAGACAAGGAAAATTACATAATTTTAATTGGATTTTCTCCTCAGACTCAGTCTGAACATAACCAATGTTTTCCTTCTTTGTATCCAATTATGTCAGGTGATAAGGAGCACTGTAGATGAATTAATGAAAGCGTCACCTCTCCCTCCTCTGCAGTAGCAGCAGGGCTTTCTATCCAAAGTAAGACAGATCCTGAGAAGCAGGAAATTAGGGACACACCAGTGTGGCTCTGCTGAGTTCACATCAGCGAAGTTTAAATCAGACCCCACATCAGCATTTCAGGATCGAATTCCCAAGGTCTGAGAAAGGATTGTTTACTCAGGCACAGCACACTGACTCACCAAATTCATGGTACCTTGCACTTGCACCAATAAATCAGAGCACCAGAATGCAAGGTATAAACAGAGTTTGGAGCAGTTTGCTGGATCCTGGTCTGCCAGCTCCATTACTGCTGGCCATACCACATCCCTGCTGGTTCTAGTGGAGCCCTGCTGCAGCCTCCAGCTGGCCCTGGGGGTCCAGCCCAGCCCACGGGACCTGGGCACACACAGGGCCAGCTCTGCACTCACATCAGTCACCTCCAGACAATTCATGAGCCCTAAATGCATTCCTGTCAGCTCATGTAGGGCCAGCTTACATCTCCTGGGCTGCTACAGGATCCTAAACATACAGGCTGCCTGATCCTAAACTTCCCAGTGCTTAATTTGAATTCACCCTTTGCCAGATGAAGACAGACTTCTTAGCACAATTACCTGACACAGTCCACAACACACATGCTCAAACAGTAACATTTCTCACTCTAAATTCTAATCTGCAAAACCAACACAATTTTTACTCTAAACCAGTTGAATTAGAAATAGACTGTTCTCTTTCTTAGGAATTTAATCACATTTCACTGCTCATTCTAAACCCTCATCCATTATTACAACACACTGAGAAATCTTCCTCGATTTTTTTCTTACCAGGGTGATTTGTCTTGATGTGAGATTTTATAAGTCGATCTTCAGAAAATGACTTCTCACACACAGGACAGGAATAACTCTTTTTATCCTTAAGTGAGAAAGAGAGAGATTGCATTTTCAGTCTACTGGTATAATCACTACAGTCATTATTCAGTAATACATGGTTCTTAACAAAGTTATAATTCAAGGTTCGGTTTTTAAGGAAAAAATGAATGTATTTATAGTGAAATAAGTGAAGGAGAAATATTAAAAGACTCTAAGCACATCATTAATCCTCATGAGTACAGGGCTCCAAGTTACAGCAGACAAGAATATGCACAATAAATGTAAGAATTATCTTCTGACTGACTCTGTAGAAAATCAGGAGTCAAAAGATCAAGTCACATAACAGAAGAAAATGTATTTGATGTAAGCAGTAATATTTAGGGTTTCTATCTTATTTTTTTTCATAAGTCTGCCCTTCTGAAACTTAAGGATGAGATCTTACCCTTCTGAAGAAAACCACCACTATGTGGATTTATAAAATGGCATGAAATGGAGCAGCTGAGTTAACAATGACAGATGCCATTACTTATTCAGTGTCTACATTCCTAACTACTTTATAAATATTCAGTATTTTATGTATTACTGATAAAGCCTTATTCTACTATTTTGATTTAAAGACTTACAGACTACTGTGGATTTTCTCAGTGTTACTGATGTTATAAGAGATTTAAAACTATCAATCAAGTTCAACTGGAGACTTTTGATATAATTTCTTCCTATATGCAATTTTAGTCTAATTGTAATTTTCATTTTTTACAAATGCATCTAACTCCATGTAAAAATGTAGGAATTTTCTCCGTTACACTTCAAATTAAAACTTGACAGTGATAATATAAACTGGGGAGATTGATCTTTCCAGAAATACCTGCTGGCACTGGATGCTCAATCAAATGAACGGGTCATAGTCACCTCTGCACTGAGTGGATTAATTTGTGAGTGGATTATCATAACCACAGATGGAGGGAGTCTAGTTAGTCCTGACAGCTGAACAGGTGCCCAGGTGACACATTACTGGTTGGAGAAGTGCAGGTACCCCCCTACCAGAGATCCCTAAAAAGGTGAGCTGAAGCCACAGAACAGACACTTCACTACTTATCTCAGGATGACAGAAATACTTCCTGAAAAGTATGGATGGAAGATTACTGATCAAAATGAGACAGAACCCTGTGTTATGAGTGAGAAATGTGGAGATCACAGGAGGATAAGGGTCCTGGACTCTACCAGTTTCTGACCTTTGACCAAAGAGCATCTCTGAATAGCGAGGAGGGCTGTATAAGGAGGTCATTATTGTCCAGATCTGCAGTTGTACAGCTGAAAATGGACACCTCTTTTAAAAGAAAAGCCAAAGTCAATGGGTTTTCATGGCAGACAGATTTTAGAATATGATGCAGCATTTTCAGTCAGCCTCATGTACCTCTGAGAAACAAATCACTGTGTTTCTCAAAACAAAACCTACAAGTTAAAACCAGCAGTAGCCCTAGAATACCTGGGCTGAAATAGCAATAAATACTCCTACAGCTGTAGGATATGGAGCTCTCACTGCCATTAATATGGCAGTGGCACAAGGAGAATTCTGCCTGAGCTGACAGTCATTTGCTCCTGTGAGAAAACCTGCACCAGGGACTGGGGATGGCAGCTACACAAGGATTACCACCCTGAGGGCAGTACCTTGCTGTGATGCAGTTTGGGCCATCATAATTTTAAGCCCTAAAAATCTTAAGAGAAAAAAAGAAACATCAGAGAATACTAGCTGAGTTTTGGATGAGATTCAAGGAACCTACAAAGCTGACAAAACCTTGAAAAAGAGCTGTTAAGTTGTGGAATTAGGGTCTCTCAATTGATAAAACCGAAATCTGCTACTGATGATTTTAGATTTTTTGTGAACATATTACTCCAATAAAGATTGGCAGATCAATCATAACAAAACTCCATAGAAATGTTTGCACCTTTTCCAAGGAGCTGTATGATCACATTCACAATTTGGCACATATAAGAGAACAGCACAATATCATTTGGGGCTCTTGAGCTGAAACTTGTTGACAGATCTTGGTCTATTCCTCAAACTTGCTACATAGCTGATTTCAAAATATGCAATAAATAAAGGAAAAAAATAGTATACTTTTAATGTACAGTTGGGTGTACCTGGTCTTTAATACTCACTGAATTAAGGATTTCTCAGTATGACCAGAACACTAAGACAAATGTTAAATAATAAAAAAAATTTCAACACTCCACTACTCAAACACTACTTCAACTGAAGGGCTGTTAACTATGACAACTTTACATTCTTACTAATGTTCTTGAGAAAGGCAAGGCTATAAGCCTAAGTCTTAAGAGGAAAAAATCAAAATAATCAGAAAATGAATCAAGAGCTATAGAGCAACATGAATGGATGGGTGCTAAGAACATCTTGCCACAAGACGCTGGTAACAAAATTCCTCAACAATGAAATAATCCCAACAGCTTTTTTCAAGCTGCTCAAAAGTTATCTACACCAAGTTCTGCAGAAGTGATCTTCAAAAGAATTATCTTTTGTAGTGTAACAGAGTGTGAGTATGAGCACTGAGTCCATTCAAAGTGTGTCTGTCAAGCTCCAGTTTCTCACCAAGAGCACCCAGCTGAAGCCAAACCTCTCCTTGCTGGGTACCCAGGCCAGTGGCAGAGTATTGGAGCTTATGTTGTCAGCTTGGAATGCTTAAGTGTTCTTCTGTTGCTGCCCTGAGACCTTGTGTGAATGCTTCAGTGTAATCCCATCACTCTCAAAAGAGCCTTTAAAAATCCCCTGGTGCAAATGAAGCCATTGAGCACAACACAGAGCCCCAGAGAAGGTTCCCTGCACCACAGCTCCAGCTCTTCAGGGGCCCTGGCCACAGGTGATGAGAGAAGCCCTTTGAAGGCTGAGGTTGCATTAATACCTGAACCACATTTTTAGCCTGCAAGTTTTCCCTGGTAAGAAAAAAGTTATTTTTCCTATGCCTTATTGGAATACCTGCCTTCTGAATGCCTTTGAATGTTTTTTTGAAGGACAGGAACAGAAGCAAAACACGGAGAGAGCTAGATCTACCTTTGTTGGAGACCAGCAGCAAAGTCTAATCAGCTATTTAAATTTCAAAGTCAATCACTTCCTGATATTTGCTCAACACCCCTATTAACCAATTTGAGAAAATATAATAAACGTAAAATAATTCCTAAATAAAAGTAGGTTTTTTACTGAAAGTGTTGTTTACATTCCATAAAACAGGTACATAATTTAGGTACATAAATATTTTTAAACCTAATGAAAATAAATTAGTCTAATGCTATCACAAATTTTCTTATGTTGTTTTGTTATTAAATAAGGCCACTTACATAATAATTACAATGCATTTATCTTTATATAAAAGAATTAAAATTGTGCTAAGAAAGCATTAGCTATATTGCATTATCCATTTATAGTGCTCTGAAGAGAATTTTATTTCTCTGAGGCATGTGTTCCAAGATAATTCAAGGGGTAGGTATACAATTATACAGTCACAAAAAGAAAAATTAAAACCCTCTACTAAACATTGGCACTCACAGAACATTTGCAGAAAAACTTCCCACAACTCAATTAACACAACATTTGACTGCATAATTTTGTAGAGGAATAAAGGGCCAAAGCCTGCTACCACATCTATTCAGATCAACAGAAATTTAATTTCTAACACCCATGGGATTAGAATTGGACCCCTGAGTTACACTTCTGAGGAGTGAAGACTCCAGAAATCTTCACCACAGTTGTCATGATGCTCAAATTAAAATTTTCCTGGAAGATTCCTGCATTAAACTGATGTCCCATTAAAATGTAACTCAGCTGAAAGGATGTGATGTACACCTAGGAGACAGCTGTGCACATGTGTGTGAAGGAGGCTACAGGAAAACACAGATGTTTAAACAGACTTTTCTGAACTCTGACAAGAAGCAGAACTCAGCTCACAAAATGACAAGCACCTGCATACAGTACTTAAGCATTTTTCGTGAAATAACTATTAGTATAAACAAATGCTAAGCTGACATTAATTATGGAATTGAGGACTAAGAGCAAAAGCTGTTTTCCAACAGAGTGCCTGATCATTAGATCAGAGATGTTTTTGTTAATTACTTCCCTTTGCAGTACCTTGCATCTCACCTGCACAGCAGCACTGCTCCAGAAGTAACACAGCCAGAGCAGTGACCATGTGAAAATTTGCTCTCCTCAGGAAGGGCAAATGAGCAATCACAGCTTGAGCATCTCACATCCTACCAACAGCTACGCTATTACATGAAAGGTCAGCACCATAATGGAATTTATAAGCATCCTTCCAAAGACAGGAATAATTTACATCCCAAAATGTGCAAGAAGGCAGATGTAGGCACCTAATAACGAATGGTGGTCCTGGGTCTGAACTGAAGTTTTATAGAGGTGCTAATGTTGCAGTATCAATTACATACACAGACATAAAATATTTCCAGAGTCAAACCTCTCTGTGATGTTTATCTGCACAACACAGTGAGTATGGCAAAAGCCACAGGGGATTGTAAACAAACTCTGGTACCTAAATCAGCATTGTTTAATTCTACATCCTGCCCTTTAATGCTACCATGAGCTCATTCATAATATAAATTGTACTAAAGCAATTTGAAACTGCCCAGCCCTTTCCTAGGTCCCATGACATAGGTCATGTCACGATTTGAACTTTGGAAGAGCTGAATAAATGCCAATAAACATCAAAAATATACAACAAAAGCCCTAGGAGCAAAAGATGAGTACTGAAAATCAGAGAATATATATAAAGTTTTGGTTTTGAATCAAGCCACACCTCAATTCCCAGGCTTCAAAAGTAAAAATCTTCCCTGTAACAACAATGTGTAGCAGATACAGAAGGCAAGAGGCAGCACATCCACACTCCCCATCATCATCTGCCAGGGAACAATCAATCCCAGATTCAGTGCAAGACTTGAGTGCTGCAGAGAGAGTAGGGTGGGTGGCTATACAGTGATATATACAAGGATGAAGGGAAAGCTGCTTCTCAATACCCATCATTCATCTTCTACAAATAATGCAGGGATCCAGCTGAAATGTAGCCAGCAAGGAGGTGATGAAGGATATGCATCCACACAAGGAACTGAACTGAGATTTCATTATCTTCTGTCTCCAGAAAAGTTTTAATTTTAATATTTATTAATAATTGATTTTTCAAATTAAAATTAAAGTACATTTACACATTTAACTGTGAACAGATATATATCTGAAGAAGTGGTCCTTTTTAGTGAGATATGCATAGAGTAAATACACTAAGCACTGGGCACAAAGACCAATATAAGAATTGCCAAATTCAGTTACTAAGTAAATTCTAATACATGAATTTTTCAATCCATTTAAATAAATATATTTAACAGTAAGCATCAGTAAGCATGCTTCTGAAAGATCTCGCTGTCACAATGGTTTTAATTATAAAATCCATTTTCTCAGTTCTGTTTAGAATTATGAAAATTATCTTCCTGGTGGGAGCTGTTGGACATCCATCACACTTGAAAAACAGGTACTTACAGAAGGATACAGGAGAGCCAACTGTAGACTTTTTTCTTAAGTGTTCTTAGACCACAATTACACAGATTTTTGCTATCAGATGGGCATTTTAAACACAATTAATTCAAAAACACCCAAAAAGAATGTCTATTATGTGAATTTTCTGTACCTTTCACAACAAATTTAGATTCCATTTCAAATATTTACAGAAGGGGAGGACACAAGGGGGGGAAAATTTTTCTTTTTGTGTCATCTCTTCTATTTGGTTTTAAAGTTCTCCAGAAGTAACTGCTTATGCAGAGTAGGAGGTGAAGTGTTGTTCTGCTCAAATACCTTCAAAGTATCAGCTGTTAGAAATACTGACCAATAGCCTTCCAATACCTGGTTTTAGCACTCTGAGCTGGAGGGCTTTCTGAACAAGACAGAAACCTTTAAAATGGATCTCTCTGTCTTTGCCAACACAACAGAAAATGCTAGACGTTCAACTGCAGCTAGATGGAACTAACATGAAAAAAAATCCTTTTCAACAACTTAAACATCTTTTGTCTGTAGTAATTAAAAACATATTTTCATTTCACTCAAGTAATTTATATATGAAGGGAATTCAGATTCATAGAATGAAGTAATGCAACAATAGTATCAACTTTATTCTACTTGCTTAAATGCCAAAGGATTTGAAAATACTGGGAAAACCAAAGGAAAAATAGATACAAACACACTTTCCTAGAAACAGCTCTGAGAAGATCCAAATATCCAGCTGCTCTAGGTCAGGTATTCCAAGAAGTGTGCAGAGAACACACAGGTAAGAATCCTAAGCTACATCTTAAGGTATTAACTCAGAATCACAAACACTGAAGAGGACAAGGAATTCAGTCAAAACCACGTTTGGTTTGCTACTCACCAGATCTGTGTGAACCTTAAGGTGTGCCTGGAGCTTGTATTTATCTGGAGTGGAGTAGTCACAATGTTCTGTGGGACATTTCAGCAAAATATTGCTGTGTTTCTGAATGACGTGGCGCTTAAGGCAGTTCTTGGTGATGGAAGAATAATTGCATTGGGAGCAGTAATATAAATGTTCTCGAGTGTGTGTACGGACGTGCATGTCATAGTGCACCTGGTACCAAAACAACTTGCCTGAAAATTAAATCAAACATGAAGAAAGTAATTCCTAAACAATTGTTAGTGAAAATTAAAAAAAAAATAACCAATTTTCTTTCAGGACAAACCACACTGTTTGAATCCCGTCTCTTTTCTCTTTAATGAAAACTTGTCTAAAGACTCTTTGCTACTGAAAATATATTTACAAATCCACCTTTGCCAAAAAAGATCATGTTAGATGTCCTGAAACAGCCTAACAAGAGCAACTTTAATACATATCAGTGATCTTTCTCCTAAAGAAAAAGTTCTTTATATCTCTTCCCTTATACGAAGAATCTGAATGCAACTGGACACTTAAAGAGAATGTCGAAATATTTTTTGTTACTTTCTTTCATGTTACTGCTTCTTAAAAGCCTTTTTGGCACAACAGCACCAAAAAGCTCAGAGCAATTCATCCGAAGTACAATGTTATGGTGTTTAGAAATTTGTTTTTTCAGACTTTGATTCCCTTCCCTTTTCAAAAATAAAAACTACAAAATATATCCCACATTGCTTCCTTTCCAGTAACATAAACACAATTATTTTTAGTTAGAATAAATGGGAAAGGTGTGTTATTCTCACTTCCATAAATTAAAAAACCCAAGCTAATTACAATCAGGATAGTCTTGATCTGATACCATGTAATTAAAATTTTCATCTCAAAGAACCTGGTTCAAAACAAGACACAAAATTATGCCAGTATGTATGTTTCTATTGTACAGAATGTATATTACTATACATCCTCCCACACTATATGAAAAAACCCTGAATTTTTTAGTAAGCTGATAATGAAGCTCAAGCATTACAGCATGGACTGAACTAATGCTGAACACATGCCTGAATCTGCTGTGCTTGGCCCCAGTCAAAGTTCTGACTTGGGGAGACCCGTGTTGACAGAAATAATTGAATTCTATCAAATTTCACCTCAACAGAAAATTGAGCCTTGCAAGGTACTGCTTTGCCATATTCCACTGGTGGGTTTTTTTGAGGACATTTGACTCATTTCATATTATTTGTACAGCAAAAAGTAAATCCCACTGGACCCCAGAATCCATACTGAACTACAAAATTAATGCTGCTGCAAAGATACACAAATATATACACTGTAAACCAGAGGAGCAGAAAAAAGCATAAGATTTAAAAAAACCCAAACATAATTCCACTGCTCCTTACCACAATATTCACATTCCAAGTCTCCATAAACCTTCCTTATCCTGTCACGCAATTCAGTGTTCATTTGTCTCTTCTGCAAGCTGTCCAAGATCTGCATGAAGGCGACGGATCCATTCCCCCCGTTGGCTGTAGCTGTGTTAGAAGGGGCTGCCTGGGGGCTGGTGGCTGCACCAGCCTCTGCTGCTGCCGAAGGGCCTGTGGTTTCTGCCAAACTTTGAATGGGAGGATTATCTGTTTCTGATTCACCAGGAGGAACAGACTGGATTCTCTCTTCAAGGACTGGAAGGTTCTCAGTCATTGCGTTGTTCTGACTCACATTTAAACTTTTGTCTTCGGATAGTAAAAGATGAATTTCTTCACCCTGCTTGTTTACAGAACTGCACTGATTAACTTCCTCTTCATTTGGGGGTGTACCTTTTAACTCAGGGCCAGCAGTACCATTTTTCAGCAGGAAGCAATCTGATGCTACACAGGGCTGCACATCTGGGACTGCCACGTCTGTTGTTGTCTGACACAGCGTCTCTGCTACATTCTTCACCAGAGGATTTTCCAATTCTAAGGAAAGGACTGCATCAATTTTTACATCACCATTATGGTGACCATCATGGTTAACATCTGCAGCTGCTGATTCACCTTTAGCAGCAGATGGCTGTGGAGTGTTAACAGCATCAGTACTCGAGACAGTCGATTCACCTGCAGTTTGTGTCTGCTGGTCACCAAGGGCTTCTGGCTGGATGTCACCTCCTGGCTCAAGCAGGCAGAAGCTTTGGTTGATAGAACTGTTAAAAACAGAGTCCTCCTGCAGATCTGTGTGCACATCTTTGATGTGAGCACGGAGCCTCACAGAACTGACAAACTTCTTCAGGCACACAGAACACACGTATACAAAAGGGTGCTTTCGAACGTGAAGCTCAAGGGCTTGGTATTTAGTGGCTCCATGACCACAGAGCTCACAAGCAAAGGGTCTCTCGTCACCATGAACAAGCATGTGACGGTCCCGGTCCAGTTCATTTTTGAATTTGCGCTCACAAATATGGCAGTCATAGAGAAGTTGTCTTTTGCCCTCTCGCGTCATCAAGCGAAGCTCATCAAAAACATCTTTCACCTTTTTATCTTGAAGGTCATGAGTTTCCTTCATATGCTTGATCAAGTTTTTAACATCTGAGTATTTCTTTTTGCAGAAACGACAGTGCTGCTTAATTTTCTTATGAACCCTTTCGATATGGACTTTGAGATGGCCTTTGCTGAGACAAGTGAAGGTACAATAATCACAGCTGAACTTCTCCCCGGTGTGCTTCCGCAGGTGAACGTTCAGGTTGGCTTTGATGGCACTGGCATAACTGCAGTAAGAACATTTGTAAGGTTTCTCATTTGTATGAATCCTCAGATGTGCTTGGAGGGAGTGTTTAAATTTGAACACCTTGTTACAGTATTCACATGTGAAAATCTTCAGCTGAGTTGGACCCAACCTAAGAAAACCCAAACAAACAGTTATATTTACAGTAGTGAACCTTGATAACATAATGCTTAGTTTTTAAAAAAATGTATTCTCCAAAGGCACTTTAAATTATACAACTTATTCATAATTAATTTTCAGCTGTTCCTTTATTTAAAGATCTCAGAAAAATGTTTCATGAAAATGGATGGGGAAGCACTTCTTTCATACTCTGCATGAACACAAATATAAGTACTTCAAAATTACCTGCTTGTTTTCATTGCCTGTTCATATGGGGTTTGCTGAATGGCATATTCTTGATATCCTTTTCGTTGTGATGGGTCTTGGACTGCTGTATCTGGAGTTGTGGGTTCACTTTCATGAGGAGAAGCCTCAAGAGGAACAATTTTTCTGGCTCCTAAAGGTAGAATGAGAAAAATGCTCATTAAAAAATTCATACTAGACATGTGCATTGTCTATAAAATAAAAGTGTAAATTAAACAGTAAACTCTGTAATCATTAGTTTCACTGTTTTAGTTTCTGTTGTTAATGATAGATACACTTCCAGAAGCCATCAGTACTTGCACCACAGCTCTGCTTAAGTAACTTGCCAGGACTGATAGTTCAGAGGGTTATTCATGGTAATTGAAGCCTGCTACATGGAGATCCTACATCCAAATATTTCCACCTTTAAAAGATTGTGAATCTTCTAAATAAAATTTGGATTTTTCTGTTTCTGCTTCATACAACATCCTTTGAAAAATTATGCCAAGCTGTTTAACCAGTTCCACAAATATGTTTGGAACAGCCTTCTCAGGGCAGTGGTCACAGCTCAAAGCCTGAGAGAGCTCAAAAAGTGTTTGGACAATGCTCTAAGGCACGATTCTTGAGGCTGTCCTGTCCTGGGCCAGGGGTTGGACTCAATCTTTGTGGAGCCTTTCCAATTCAGGATATTCTGATTCTATGTTCCACATACACTTCTCAATCTCCACTGCACACAGGAGAGGCTCCACTGAATGCTTTAAGCCCAGATTCCTGAAGATATTATTTATAAAATATAAGCAGTATTAACATAAAGTCTCTGAAGCCACAGTGGGATTTACCCAAAAACAGGCGTGAAAGACTTAGTGACATTACATGAAGGAAAGAAGTGCTATAGACAACAAGGAGAAAAACAAAGTGATTTTAAGTGGAAAATTGAGATATTTTGAGAAGAGGCTGTTTGGGAGTACGTAAAGCTATTGAAGCTTTTCCTATCAGACTGGACATCAGCCAGCCCTGTAACTAAACGGAGCAACTAAACTGTAATAGCTCTGTTGCTCACTAAACTGGTTGCATCTAAAATCAGCTTTTTTTGACTACTGATTTTTAATAATGCTTTCAGTTCTGTACTAAAGATTCTGTAGGTTCAACAGAACTGATCTTCCAAGTTTTCACCCTTAAATATTTCCTGAACATTACAACTTATATTATTCCTGCTCCTCCCTCTCCCACAAATGCCAGGCTGTCCACAGGACTGCATGTCCCAAATTGTACTGTGGTAGCCCAGTGAGATGGAACCTTGTCATTACAGCACAGGAGCCACGGTTTAGTCTGTGGGTTCTGTACAAAGGTAACAGAATAGACATTAGACACCAGAAAAGTGTTCTGATACTTCCATACTTAAAATAGAAGCAAATTCTATATTTAGAGTGACTCAGTTAAAATAAAATAGGTCTTAAACTGCTTTATATGCATGATTGCCTCTTCCAGGCCTCCCATTTCCTGACTGTGAGACAAAGATCCTCATTAAATGCTCCACACTAACTCTCCTCTGTGCCCTTCTGCATTTCAGGACGTTTGAGAATTTCCTAAAAGGACTGCTGAACTGTTTAACAGACTTTTGTACTACCACCATAAAAATTTAATCACCTAAACTGGGTGAACTAAATATATACTCACTAGATAAATACTAACTCACCAGTATTTTTGCATACTTTGAGTGGGCAGAACGCTCCAAGGTTATCTTCATGTTACTGCCTCTAAATTACCTATGCAGTTCACAGAGAGACAAATGTCTTTAAAAACTTGAAGAGGGAGATTCAGATTTTCAGACATGCTGATGAAGTACCTGCTCACAAAAGGCAATCACATCCCCTAGTGGGAGGTTGCTACTTCCCACCATTAGAAGATAGGGAAGCATTAAGAATCATTAGATGTCTCCATCCACTTGGGATGCTGAGGGTGCCAACAGACCAGCAGCCACAGCAATCACTGCAACATCACAAATTAATGACTACAGCATATGCCCAGAAAGTGAGAAAATTGGTTTCAAGGCTCTACCCAGCCTTGTTCCCACATGTCCCAAATTCCAAAAGAATGACCTCAATATTCAGGCTAGGGAAATAGCTAAGAACAAGGCAAAAACATACAAGGTCTTATTTTTCATTAAAAACATCATATGCCAATAAAGAAGATAAAGGTTTTCCTGCCTCCCTAGGCAATCATTTCAAGAAGCCAAAGCATATAAATATCAGGGGGGGGAAAAAAATAAGTTTACTGTATGGATCATTTCTTTCAGAAAAATCCTTCCTCCAGCACTATCATATCTCTATTTTAAAGGCAGAATTGACTTTAGTTTACTAGACTTTATTTATGCCTCCTGCTTTCCTCTTTTCAGTCAATATCACCTAAGTAAATCTGCCTTCAGAAGAATAAGATTTGAGTTCCTCATGACATTCTGACAGCAGCTTCTACAGATAAGCATTACCCAGTGAACCTCATCTCTGGCTCAAACTCAGAGATGGCCTCCAGTCTCTTACAGTCTGTCCCTTAGAAAAGCAGCCTGTCCTTCACTACAGAGTTCCCAGTAATTATCAACAGTCTAAAAGGTAATAGAATGATTAGGAATGAATCAGAAATAAACCAGGAAAGAACATCAACCTAATTCTATTAATTCAACTAAATTCTGCAAACGTCCTAAAGCTTCAAGTATGGATCACAGAAAAGGATAAAGAAGAACCAGAAAACAGTAAAAAGACAAAATCAGAAGTGTTTTGTTTGGGAAAGGGATACAGAATTCAGAGACCTCCAGCTTGGAAAAGAGGTAACTGAAAGTGAAATATCAGAAAAAAGTCTGTAATTAGCAATATTGCAGAAAAAAAAAGTGTGAATAATCATTATCTCACAACCCACAAAAAACAGTTCAATGTAGACTAAAAACAAAATAAAGGAATATGCACTTTCACCCCACATGTAATAAAGGTATGGAACAATTACTGTATAATGTCACAGAGACTGAAAATATAAATGCATGCAAGATGGGATTTAGACAAATTAATTTATATGTATTAAATACGATAATCCAGATTCAGCTCAACAACTGTTAGAATCCATGAGATTTTACACAATAAGTGTTTTTTTTCTTTCCTATAGAGGTACTGAAAGCTGCCTTTAGACCAACATTTTTTGTTTTAAGAAAGACTTTAGCTGAAGTATAAAAAAAAAATCTTCATAATGTAGGTACTCTGGCCTGTAAAGTTAAAATAATGTGCTATGGGTATGAAGTGAATATTTGTTTCTTGCAATCTCTTTCTGAAGGAATGTGTTTTTCCAGCTTCCACAATATCCTGTGAAATGTTCTCCAAATGTGCATGATCCGTAGAAAGACAGCTCTGAAAGTCAAATCATCAGAAACCAACCCTACCCATAATCCCAAAGCTCTCCCTGCAAACCTACCTCTAACTCTCAAAATCAAGCTAAAAAAAAAGCAAAAGGAGAATTTAATATTTGTCTAGGTTAGGTCACCCTGATGTTGAACACATTTTAATTTACACAAAAATAGAAACCCAGACCTGTGTACGGGAGGATGAAGATTCTCCCTTTCACTAGAGCTGGACATTAGATTGGCTGAGCTAAATCTATCTGTAAACCCATGATTACATAAACACCTGCTCACATTCAGAGAGAAAAGGTTTCATTTCCCTAACATTGCCTCATTCAACGTTTGCTTTAAGTCAGCATAAGGACAGCATCCTTTCTCTGGCCCTCCATTCAACTACAAATTGGTGATACCTGAAAAGTACCAGTACAGGAGTTTATGACAAGGGTTAGAGAGGGAATCTGCCTAAATTCGACACCATATCTCTCCTTCTGCAAATAAAAAAATTATTAATTTTTTAGTGTGCTTTACTACAGAAGTGCATCAACAGGCACAATGATCCAAAGGGCAGAAAGTTGGGGTTGGAGAACAGCACTTGCTTGTGGCAGCAGTCTGTTCTTATTCACTGAAGAGGGTGGTAAGGCATGGAAAAGTTTGCTCAGAGAACTTGTGGATGCCCCATCCCTGGAAGTGTTCAAGGCCAGGCTGGATGGGGCTTTGAGCAGTCTGGTCTAGTGGAAGGTGTCCCTGATCACAGCAGACAGGTTGGAATTAGATGACCTTTAAGTAATTGTGGTTAACTACAGCCAGGTCCAGCATTTCTTGTACCTATGTAGAAATGTGACTGAAGTTCTACAGTTAGCTGCTAGATGTGGAGACTCTGCATCAAGATAATCAAATAATGATAAATATTTTTCATACACTAAATATTCTAAGGAATTTGGTCTTAGACCAATGAATGTTTTATATAGTGTCAGCATAATTTAAAAAAAAATATTATATAATTGGTGATTTTGATTACCTGGAATAGTTTCATGGGCTGTCAAAACAACACTTATAATAGGATTTTTAGCTCCTGAAACCTGTTCAGTCTCCTTAGTTGATGCTGTTTTCTCTGTTTTCTGAACTCTGGGCCTCTTGGGAGTTTTTTCTCGCTCATCTTCCTTCCTGTCAAGGTCAACGTCAGAATCATTACCTAAAGGGCAAACATCAAAAAGAAGGTAACTATGTACAAAAGCAATGCAGGTAACAGTCACTAACACTGCAAGAACAAATGGGGAGAAAATTTATGCTACAGTAGAAAGAAAGACATTATCAAAACAAGATGTGCTGCATGATCCCTAAAGGGGAACTTTTTTCCCCTCAATTAAAAACCAGCATGGCAATTATACAAACCAAGAAAACATGATAGAAAAAAATTTAAAAATTAAAAAATGAACTCTCAGAAACATGTGTTTCTAAATTCATTCACATTATTGTGGGTTTTTGTGAAAATGCTACAAACTTTGTCAAAGTTCTCATGATTTTGCAATTAATGAACAATTTATTTTTCTCTTTTCCATATTTAATTTTTCTGACAATCTTGGGATTCTTTTTAGTACTAGCTTCATTATCAATCTTATTTAATGGAAAATTTTTTGACAATCTCTTTGGATTTGACCTTCTTCCTCTCCTGTTATTATAAAACAATAGCCAGAAACATAATTTTCTTTTTATTGTTGATTCAAGAATAATTAGATTCAAAATAGTTCTTTGGTTCAACCTAACTCCTGACATGAAACTCCTCATTTTGAAGGCCTGCACTTCCAAATCATTCCCTCTTGCTGTTCAGAATGTCTTCAACCTCTTGTATTGGATAAGTTTTCAACCTGATAACCAGAAACCCATACAACAGTTGTATACAAAAAACTCTTCTGAGATAAAAATGAATATCCGGTAATCAGCTGATTTCTTTCTCAAAGCAAATAAGGAATTCCTTTACTGAAATTCTAAAAAATAAAAAAAGAGACAAGAAAAACCAAAGTTAGAAAATTAGGGCATTATGCAGATGTTCCAGAGGCAATGAACAAGGAAAGAAGAAACTAATGGAAGAAAATTATAATTGAATTTTTCTTTTTTTTTTCCTCTCAATCTACGTCAGTTTATTCAATCTCCAGAGTAAGTAATTCCATGTATATAAAAAATATGCTGAAGCTGCTGTAATGAGATAGGGAAACAAAATAAAAACAAAAAACACTAAGAGCAAAGCTGTAGTGTGTCCAGACTTGTTTCTGACATTCAAACAGCAGAAGTGAAAAGATGTACAGCATGGAAGTGGCTGTTTTAATTCCAGTAATATTCCAGTAATATTGTAAATATTCAGCTGAGATTGAAACAAAGACTCTCTGTGGCCTGACTGTAATGGAACAAAGGTTTAAAGTGTCCTGGCTGTTCCTTACAAAAATGAAGGACACGAACAGAAGCTACAGCAGCACGGGTAGGGCTGATCACGTAACCTGTATAAACCACAATTTCTTTATTAGACACAGAACAAGAAGGAAACAAGGTGTACAGGAAGAAGTTTAGCTTCCTCAGGCATCCTGAGGCATAAATCTGTAGGCTGACAACAGGCAGTGATTTAACACTAAATTGTAAACCTGGAATACATATTTAGACTCTCCAGAATGAGGAACAAACATATAAAAACCTGAATTCAAACACAGTCAGCCATGATTCTGCCCAGCTTCCAGCTCCACTGCCTGGAGAGCCCTCAGCTTTCCAGCACCTACTAATGATTTCTTCAATTTCATTACAAAAATTCCTTGATCTATGCCTCTTCTCAACTAGGTTTTTCTCTGTGGACTTCTATGATTTTGTAAAATATTGCTGCTTTATAGGTATAAAGAGCTTCATAATGTCCCCATTTAACTTCTTAATATAGTTGTAAATTATTCATTTATACTAAAAACACATAGTTCTAACACTGATATTTTCCTGCAATACTTGAAAGGGATATTTGAAGATAAAGAAAAATCCCTTTCAAACGGAACCTGCTTGTGCAGTGGTTTCTTCTGGTGTGCTGAGCAGAGGTGTAAGGAAACAGTTGGACTCTATCTTAGAGGTCTTTTCCAACCTTATTGGTTTCTATGAAACAAACACATATTTTCACATTTTCTTCATCAAACAGCCTCTGATAGTTTATTAGCAAGAATAAAATTAATCATCATAGATTTCTCAGCAGGACCAGGCTACCAACACAAGAAAGCCTTTTCATAAAGAATGAGAAAACACAGAATCAACTGAGTTGGAAAGGACCCACAAGGTTCATGGAGTCCAACTCCTGGCCTTGCACAGGACCATTCCCAACAGCCACACCATGTGCCTGAGAATGTAACCTGCTTACTGAAATGCTTCCCTGAGGGTGCTTCACATGCTGGGTTAATTACTCTGCTTTTGTTCAGTGGGCAGTAAGCAAAACTGAAAAGCATTTGAAAAAAGCGCCAAAAGATTTTATATACACCTATGGACAAAACATGCTTTAGTTAGAAGAAATCCAGAACCATATATTGTAATGAAAACTCTAATGAGGAGAACAGAAATTTCTCCACTTTGCATGGGATCATGTAATTCCTAGTAGTTATATGAATAGAACCCAAGGACCTTACTCCTAAACTCCCTTCTAATCGTTAGAAAGATTCTAACCATTCATCACTTTAATGAGGAAGTGGTTGAAGATAAATAAAAAAAACATTCATTACCTTTTCACTTTAATATGCAACTCTACTACCTTTTGAGTATTGGAATTCTACTAAAAAAAGGAGAACAACAGATCTGAGTTTGGTTGTGATCCATGTTAGTGAATAACTATGACCACAGTAATAAGCCAGCAGATGTTTCACATTGCTCTTCTTTCCTGATGTGCCTCTGTCAGGCAGATCAGTTTAGCAGTTCTTTCAGTCCAACCAAGAGTCAAGGTGAAGAGATGTATTACAATAAATATTGCTGACTGTCTCCCTGCTTTCAAAACAGACCACAAATACTATTTTAAAAGACTTAAAAACAACATGCAGAATTGCAATAGAAAAATATTTCTTTGTTAAAATGGTGCTGTTTCATACGTATAGAATATTTGTGCACATAGGCTAAGGACTAAAAATTATGCCCATACAAAAAAAAAAATTCATACAAAACCCAAAGCTGGTAAGTTCTTCAAACAAAGAACTGGATCTCAACTTTCTCAGTATGAGTTGAGAAGACCCAGCCCCTAACAGGAGAACTACATTCAGTATGAGCAAAGGTATGAGGAAGCTACTGAGTGCTGTGCAACCTCAGTTAACACAAAAAAAGCCCACACATAGATTAGCAAGAAACAGCAGTGAGAAAACTCCACTGATTTACTGATCATACATCTGCTATTAGTGCAAAGGATCTGTAAGAACATTCTCACTCTCACGTGGTACTTGATCAAAACCCAAAATTACCTCTCTACAGTGATCTAGTTCTGATAACTTTAACATTAAAATTTATTCATTAATTTGATGCCTGCCAATGGCAGTAGCCCCATTCTATGCCTCTCTGAGTGGAAGAAACATCTTCCAGAAACAATTTGTTGATAAGGAGCTGGGGTGCACACATTGCCAACAATTTTTGCTACAAAGAACTATTTTGTGGTCTGTGTGTAACCTGAGACTTAAAAATCCTTCAAACCAACGCTCCCTATCAAATCACCAAATGAACAAACACCTTAACTCTCAATGACAGCTGCTTTGTTCCAGAATTCTCTCTGCACCAATATAAATCCTGAAGTGGAAGGTGTGCTTTAGGAAAGGATTAAGAGGAAGAAAAGTACATTTTAATAAAAAAGAGCTTCAATTTTGACCACAAGGCTTAAACAGCCTTTCTATAGTAAGTATGTGGCCATCTCATCAGTGTTTAGCTGCCTTCCTGGAAAAAATTCTTTCACTGCTAAGATCATGGATTAGAGTGTCAAATAAATGCTGTGTCCATCTCAACTAGGCAGGTTCTGCTGTATAATAACTACCACGGGTTATAAAGGAACAGCCTTGGATGATTTTAGGATAATTCATGAGAAAATGGAGTATATGCCACTTGAATAGCTAAACTGAATTTCTCCAGGCAGTAAAAGCCTTTGCTTGCTCCTGAAGAGGTTTGTTTAGACAAACTGTTTCACTCTGCACGTCCCTTGCTAAGCAGTCAGCTCAGCACTTTGTCAGCTGGCACCTGGATCCAACAGACGGATGAAGTGACCTCCCCTCCCCAGCGTCAGGCACCAGCTTGTGTTTGTGCAAGAAACACAAGGCTGAGCTGCTCCTAACACCAGGAAAAAATGGCCACGTCTGCTGATCAGCAAAGCTACTGCCAGCTCTGAATTAATCAGGGCTTCCAGAGTCCCATTGAACTGCATCGTTCATCTGTCCCATGATCCTGTTGGAGTCATTAATCGAAGGGACTGCTCTCAGCGTTTCTACTTGGATGTACAACATTTCGCAGGCATAGCTACACAGCCTTAATTGGCATGTTTTTAAACTACTCTTCATTCAAATTACTGCTTTTTAACCTTTAAAAAGTGATATTTCATAGCAGCAGGAGAACAGCTTGAAAAAAAAAAGTGAACTGGCCATTTAAAATAAACACAGGCAATTGTTTCTCCTCAACAGAATGACATTCTACTTGCAGGAAGAATTAATTTAAATTAGAATCCAGCTGATGGTAAAACCATTTTAAACTAAGGCCAAAAGTGACATCTTTAAGATATATGTAGGCTCCCACTTCAGTAGGATTGAATGTTTCACTGCAGAGAAAGGACTGTAATCTGTCTACCCCCTAATGCCATTCCCTGGCCATTAAACGTCCTCTCTTGTATCCTGCCAGCCAGATCCAAATCATTAGCCGGAATTTTTAATTTTGTTTAACCAAAAAGAAACAGAAATAGGTATACACACAGTTTAGCTTACAAAACAGAAACCTGCTTAGGCAAATAAGCCCTCTATGAAAAAATACATTTACTAAGCATGTACAGAGGGAAACACAACAGACTTTTTTTTTTAAACCTGTGTTGCACCGGCTTTGTGTGGCCATGTTTTGGTAGCAGGGGGCTACAGTTTGGCTTTACTCATGGAGATTTGGGTTTATTCCTCATTATCCTCTGATTTGATTGGTAATAAATTAATTCCCCCAGGTTGTGTCTGTTTTTCCTGTGGTGGTAACTGGTGAGTGATTTCTCCCCACAAGACTTTTGTTTTTTTTTTTTCCTTTTTCCAGTCCAGCTGAGGAGCTGCTTTCTGGGAATCCTGGAGCTGAAAAAAACCTTTTTTTTTTTTAAATTTTTATTTATTTATTTTATTTTTTAATTGCTGTTTTAGTGAATGGGCCCACAAGTTGAAAGCAATCATTATAGTTCAGAGGATCAAATTAGATGCACAAAGGATGTCAGTAACCAGTAAGGCCTGGTGACTGGAAAGAGCAGCAGAACTATCAGTGAGTCACTGATCTCAGAGATCAATGCAGATCACTAATTACAGAAGCAAGGAACAGCAGAGTCCCACTGCATCCATAGGTTATTCCTCTGACCAATACATGTGCAAGTTCAATGAAGTTTCAACTCTAGCTTCAACTAGCATTTTCTAGTGATTTATTTATTTTAAATGTCCGTTATGTTAGGCATTTCAACACTTTTCTTGTCGACCTATAAAAGACAGCAAAACATTTTATTACTTGGAAAGTTCTATGAATATTTGAGCTCCAGTTCAAAACATATATTAGATTTCTCTGAATAAATACTATTATACAGAATAACTATAAATACATATATTTTCAATGTTTTCATACTTAGCATATTTTAGCAATAGCTAAAACATTATTTTGGTCACAGGTGTGAAACACTGTGTCATATGAGCTGCTATGAAGAAAGTTAACTCCATCACAGTCAGCCACAGTGTAAAGTGAAAACATGTGATTATTAATCAGATCCCCATAGAATGCTAAGCTTTGCAAGAAATTAAAAACATGAGAAAGTGGTATAAATTTTAAAACTATAGAAAGTCTCAGAAGCATTAAAAAAAACAGATAAAAGTTATTTTAAGTTAGAAAATACATGGATAAAAGGAAAAAAAAAACAACCTTTATAGAATAGGTAAAATGTCAAATACTAAGTGAGAAGAACCTTCAGCCAAAGCTTCTTGTGAATTTTAGCCATATATTTTGAACTGTTTCTGACATGCAGAAGCAGATATATTTCTGAAAGATTCTAAGACTTTCAATAAAATCTTCCATCCAGCTCTAAAAACACTGGCAACAGTGGATTCAAGAAAAAAAGGAATACTGATAAAATGATGGGTTCTAAATTAACTCTTTGAGTAGAAGAAAGATCTGCCTGTGTTTCTAAATACTTCCCTGAAAACCTAAGTTTAATAGTAAACAGCAGTCAGAAAAATCAACCATAATATAAAGGAAACATTAAGAAAAGAGCAGAACAGCAAAAAAACACCTTATGCCATGGTACTAGTCAGGGGAGCTCTGCAGAGGGATCTGGACAGGCTGGATCAATTGACTGAGGCCAACTGCATGAGGTTCAATAAGGCAAAGTGCCAGGTCCTGCCCCTGGGTCACAACTGCTCCATGCTCCAGGCTGGGGACAGAGGGCTGGAAAACTGCTGGGCAGAAAAGGACCTGGAATTGTTGTGGGTCAACACTGGCTGAACATGAGCCAGCATGTGCCCAGGTGGGCAAGAAGGCAAATGGCACCTTGGCTTGTATCCAAATTCATGTGGTCAGCAGGACCAGGACAAGGACTGTACCCCTGTACTCAGTACTGGTGATGTCACACCTCAATCCTGTGCTCAGTTTTGGGCCCCTCAGTACAAGAAGGACATTGAGAGGCTGGAGCACAAGTCTGAGGAGCAACTGAGGGAGCTGGGGGTGTTCATGCTGGAAAAAAGGAGGCTCAGGGGGGACCTTATCACTCTCTACAACTCCCTGAAAGGAGACTGTAGCCAGGTGGGGATCAGCCTCTTCTCACAGTAACAAGTGACAGGATGAGAGGAAATGGTGGTGCCAAAGGAGGTTTAGATTAGATATTAGGAAAATTTTTTAACTGAAGAAGAACAACCATCAGAACAGGCTGTGCAAGGAAGGGGTAGACTCAGCATCCCTGCAAATGTTCACAAGGTCTGCGGATGTGACACTTGGGGACGTGGTTTAGTGGAAAACATGGTCATGCTGAGTTTACAGCTGGACTCAATGACCTTGGATGTCTTTTCCAAACTTATTGATTCTGTGATAATGCAAAAGTTTGAGGAATATTATAGAGACTATTATAGAGAACCCTAAGCAGACAACATCCTGTTCTTGCCTGTTCTACAGTTTTGAGGTACTGACTGTATTCACACGTTCTTAGAGGAAAATAATAATGCACATGCTACTTTCATCTACATACTGAGAAACTGAAAAGTTGTCTCAAACAGTTCATATGGTAAAGGTAGAAGTGAAAAGTTTTCCTGTGATGGGACAGCAATCTGTAGACAGCTGAAGAGTGAATTTCCCAGATGTATTCCAAGGAAGAATTATGTCTTCAGGATAAAACCAGCCCCCAATACCTTCACAGTTTGCAGTCAAGATAGAAAGCTTCAAAAAATTGGAACCCCCTGTTTTGATGACCCCAAGTCATTTGTTGCTTGACTGTTTGACTTTGCTTGATTGTTTTGCTTTTACCAGGAAATAAGCAAAAAATGTTTCATCTGCCCAAAACTGAGGCTATTTTCTTTATGAAGAAGGAAAAAGATGAGCAATTTAGTCCAGAAAATTTGCCAGTGTGTTTTGTAGAGAAACCAATGAAGATAAAATTTAGGAGCTCTAATGAAGTAACAGGTCAAGAACAGGTAATTTGAATTTATACTTTGACCTGAGAGTTTTTTTCAAAAGGACATTAGAAAAGGCAACATTTCTAAAATAATGCAAATATGAACACTGGATCTAGTATAAACAGCAGAGGGCATGGACAGCATGGACACTTGGGAAGTCAGAGGTGAGACAGCTGGAGCAACTGTCATTTTGTGTATTTAAAAAATTATACCACTGATGACAGTAAAATATAACCAGGTACTTTACCAAAGCAGGAGTTTCTCTGCTCTGTCAACATATTCTAAGCTTATTTTAATTAAGCTTTGCCACAGAAGTTAAACTCTACATATCAATGAAAATAAAATAGTCATACTAGTTCTGTATAATTGTGACAGACTGGAAAGAGTAACAGAAAACTTGAAAAAAAATCAATGGCAGATTTTGTCTACAGGCAAAATCCACAATATCATACTGAGCAACTGTAGTAAAAGCAAAACCTGAATTTTACCATCAACACAAAACTCCCAAAAAGTTAAGGTAATTTGGACTAAGTTATTGCTTTCTATGCATGGGACATTCACCTTAGGGAAAATTTAAACAGGTAGGTAGAGGAGATGATTACTGTATGTCCCTTCAACTACACTATTCTGAATGAATGTTTACTGCTGTCTTTTTAAATGGATTGGGGCTCGATGCCCCAGGCCAATGAGGGTTTAAGAAACCATTCAGACAATGCCCTTAGCAGCAGCTTTAACTGCTGGTCAGCCTGAATTGGTCAGGCAGTTAGGTGGGATGGTCATTGGTTCCTTACAGCTGAAAATTACTTCATTCTGCTGTGTTCTATACTAAACATTTGAGAGGTTGAATATATCCAAATCAATATTAAAGCTAAATTTAAACACTGGACTCTCCTATGCCAAAGACAATAAAGCTTTGTTTGAGGTTTTTAGTGTTTAACTGTGTTTAATAGTGTTTAATACTATTATTTATACAGTAAAAGCAAGTAAAAGTACAGTTAAAGAAGCCATCCAGAAAAGCAAACTCTATCAAGAGAAGAGAACAGAATTCAGATTTCCCAAGTCACAGGACAGAAACACCTGTACAGGACTGTCCTTCCTCACCTACATGTGATACTCACCTGCATGGCCTATACCACTTCTCACTGAAAAGCTACAATGCACTTTGTGAGAAACAGAACAGTTGCTAATGCAAAACAAGACTTTCAGGGAGTTGTAAGACAATCATTACTGTAATAAACAGTTTGATCACTCTGAAAGAAGTTTAAATACCTCACCTAAAATCGGTTTTGCTTTTTTGTTTTACAAGGAACAGACAACTCCACTCCATTTAAAGCCAGCACTGGGGATTCCAAGCCAGGTCTCATGGTGGGAACATCATGGTATTTTTTCAAGTATTTTTGTTTGGATGTTTTCTTACCTCCATCTCCTTCTTCTTCTCCTTCATTCAGAACAATAATGCAGATGTGTTTAGTCAGCTGACGCGTGTTGGAGAATTTCCGATTGCATTTCCTGCATTCCAGGCTGCCTGGTGAGACTTCAGATGGTTCCAGGCCTTCTTCTGTCCCAGCTGGGGTCTCTTTGCTTGGAACAGGGTTGTTTTCTGCCACATCTTCATCCACACAAAGCTTCTTAGTGGACCCTTTTGGTCTGCCCCTTTTCCTCTTTGCTACGAGAAGCTCTAGAAAAGCAAATTGAAGTTTAAAGTAAACTACAATTAAACTTCACCGCTAATTTGCTAATATCCTTCTGATCTTTGAAAAATAGATGCCTTAAATCAAGTTTGAGAGGAGTTATCCAAAAAAAAAAATGAAAAAAAGGTTAGCATCACACAAACTTATTTCAAGCAGTGGTATTTGCTGGCATTTCTGGTAGCTGCAAAGCAATAACATTTGTGTTACTGAGATGTCAAAGTGCCACAGTTTTACTTAATTACACTGCAAGCTCTCTTCTGGACTGCACTATAACTCTATCAGCACATGTATTCTACAAAAATGCTTTGTACTGTTTCAACACTACAAAAAGCTTTTTAATTTAAATAATTGTCAAATTAATTATCTAGGTATTGAGATGTAATCAGAAAAACAATGTATGCTTAAGAACCAAAATCTCATTGTCCTTTTAATATAGTGAACTATTACTCCCTAATATTTTCTGTGGTTCTTGATTGTCAGCACTTTCTAGCCAAAAGCTGGCATAAAAATTGTTGGTAACGAATAAATTCCAGAAGTCATGCAGAAAAATGTTTCCTTAATTAAAATCAGAAGCCATCCACAATTCTTAATAAATACAATATAATTTTACATTTCCATATTTCTGTAGAGGAAATATTGAAATCCATGACATGTAGTGCACAGAAACGTGTGACAACATAAACTGTATTTTCTGCTTAAGATTTCTCTCATCACTGCTGAATCACAGATACTGATAAATTGAGATTGACAACACGATGTCTGAAAAAACACGAAAAGAGAGAATATTAAAAAAAACCCAAACCACAAAAACTTTTCAAGTACAGGTGGTGAAAGACCTTATTGAGTTGGTTGATTTAGAGGATATGGAAAAATAAATGACTCAAACAATGTTAAAGGAAGATGATGCAGGAGAACAGGAGAAGGTAGCATCATGTTATTCAAACCCCACATTCAGACACCACAGCTTTGAGTTAACCATGTAATTACTATAAAATGAAATAGAAAGCATTCTGTTTTCTTATATGAGTGACTGATACCTGTCAGCATTCTGTTTTCTTATATGAGTGACTGATACCTGTCTGCTTAAATAAATGTAATGAAACTGCCCAAAAACCTTATTATGAATAGAAAAAAAGCAACTGTTTCCCATAACCTTTTTCAAACCTCCACAGGGTCCTGAACTTTCACACTACTCTAGCAAAAGTAGTTTTGTCAATTATCAACCAAAAAGGAGTGATTTCAGTGCTCTCAAAACTTCTTTGCTACCATTCATATTATTTTGATATCCATCCATCACAGCAATCAGTATTTGAGCTGCAGAAATTAAAAACCAATTTAAACAAATTATCTTTATTATAATTTACCAATTAAAACAATTATCTTTACATCAACCCGTCAAAAGGCCACAGTTTGCTAACTGTCCAACACGAAGAATACAGATGTGGATGCTGGTCAGACTACTACAAAATAGTTAAATCCAAGGATTGGAAAAATTAATGAAACCACCATATTCTCTGTGTATGATATTCTTTTCATTCCTTTACAATGCAATCATCAGATTACCCAACAAAAATAAATTAAGAGAAATCAGGTCAAAGAGATGCTTCTTCCTGACTGTTTTAGTGCAAATTTAATGAGAAACGGAAGAGCACTTTCACATTAAGACAGAAATTGAAACAAAATCTTGCATGCAAGTGGAAATGTGAAAACTGCTCCTTTAGATGGCTGGTGATGGAATCTCTGCTATGGCTTACAAAATTGCAGCTCTTAACACTGACTATTAATGGTGTGGCAAATAAAGAAAGAATGTGCAAATCTCATAATTTGCAAATGTGTCCACCAGTAGGAGAATTTACAGCAGTCCTCAACCATTTAAAAGGTTTAGTGGCAAGAGGCAGGCAGCAACAAACACAGGAACAGGAGGGCTCCCCAGGACTTGTGAGGCTTATCACAGTCATTTTTTTTCCTTGCTTCTTGGTTTCATTTTTCCAGGACAGAGCTTATCTCAAGCTACTTTGAGTTAACAATGCCAGAATTTCATTTTTAATGAGGCACATAACCACAAATTCCAGCTGTCTCTCTACCCAGCCTGCCCCCAGCGAGCTCTTCACACTGCATTATACAAATTCCAGCTCAAACCACCTAAGATCAATAACACACAGTAATTTAATAGCAGAACATTGTCATTCATCTGCCAGTACGTAACCAAGTTAATCAAATATAACTTTTTAGAAAACAGAATCTATTTCACTGCTAAAAATAAAGTAGCATTTAAATAAAGTATAAAAATAAAGTAGTAAATAAATAATAAAAAGACCATCACTTATTTAAAGGATGGCTTAGTGATAAATAGAAGTTTCAAATTGGTCATTAAAAAGATTTTGAATTAAGATCCTGTTCCCTCAAGAACAACTTAGTTCTGGGCATTTTGCACTCATTAAAGACTGACTGAAACCAATCTCTATGCTGACTGCTATTGGATGAGCAATGGCAATATCCAGGGAAGACATTCTGTGCTATGCTGTATAATTATCTTCTCAAAGATATAAAAAAGACACTTCAAAAAGAATAATGAAATGAACTGTGTGTCTATTTTTATACTGGTCCTTCATAGGAATTGTTCACATAAGCTTCCCCAAATCAATCTATTTAATACAAAAAGTTTGTCAGAAGTCACAAAACGCTTGTGCAAATGTCACCAGAGCCTCCTGATCATATTCAACAGGTTGATGCATTATGCAACATGAATCCTTCCTCAAATGTCATAAGCTTATGAGCTTACAAATAAAAAGCTTACATTTCATCAGTTACAGCACATGGCTGTATTCAGAATCTCCTGCACACAGTGTCACACAAATGCATGCATGGAAATCTCATCCTCAGCCTTATTCTGTTACTGTTCTGTGTTTGTATCATGGCACCTGCAACACCTCCGGTCCCTCAGGTGTGAATGCAGGCTCTGGCTACATCCTGTGTCCAGGAAAGGATGAGGCTGATGCACACACCATGGTTTTAAGTGACCTTAATGAGGTAAACTCCTTGAAGGAAAGAAATGATGATACACAGACTGTAACTTTCTTCCAGGTTTCATAACCAACAGAGCCATGCATCCCATAATCCAGATATAGCCCAAAACAAACAACAATCCATCAGGTAATAACAGTATGGATAGATGAAGCCATTGATGCTCTCCCACAGATCCTCACCAATCTGACTAAGCAGAAGGAAAAGAAAGCTGAGTTTTGACAAGCACTTTGAAGGAAATGGAGACCATTGTGCAGAACTATAAAATGCAAAACTGGAGTATGAGTGACTACAATTAGCAGGTAAAGACCTGTAATTTCCCAAAGACACATGTCACACTCCAGTGCTGGACAAAATGTGACTGTGTATAGACGTATAACAGCAACATCTCCATGGTACCCTTGGTACCCCTTGATAAAAAAATTTAACACTGTCATACCAAAATGTTTAGGACAAATCAACTCTAAACAGATCATAGCTTAATGATGGGAAAGTGGCATGACTAAACAAAATCTAGCAGGGAGTACTGTAAATAAAATAACAGTAGAGTAATAACTACTACATGCCTAGCACTCTACTTGTCGCCAGTATTCATAAAATCATTAATTTATTACTCAGGCAGAATAAAGAGCTCCATCAGCAACTCAGCATTCACTCTTATATACCAATTGTGAGGTTGCTATAGTATTTACAAATACTTGTAAGAGAAATTACACTTTCAAAGGACAAGAAGATGTTCATCTACTAGTCACCAACTACTAAACAACTACTAAAAGTTGTAATTTCTAAGGCTGTCATTCACCAATTACTTCACCATTCAGTGACAATATTGAATTACTACAAAGACTGGTTCACAGAAAAATAATTGTATACTATAAATTTTCTAAGTTCTATTTTATTATAAAATAGAAGATTCCATTCTGCTATATATTCTAATATAGCAGATGCCATTGCAGGAGGGAATAATTGATGCTTTTAAAGAGCTCTTTCCAAATCCTACATTCAGCTGTAGAATACCATATTTTTTTTTTTTAAATGGAACACAGAAGATAATTCTGGGACTTCAGAACTCTCTTCTCCTATCAATCTGTATGATGGGAAAGGAGAAATGTTAAAGAATGCCTAGAATGTAACACGGAAACTATGGAAAAATAATTTACCTTGACATTCTTACTGACAGTAGATGGCAAAGAGTTGGGCTACATAACCTGAAAAAGGTAGCACCATATGAGCACATGAGATGAGTAAAAGTATTCACCAAGAATAATGAGAAAGGTAAATTATGAATACATAACTTAAAATGTTATATTTTGCATAAGATTTGCAGAGTTATTTTCCTAAAAGCAATTTATCTCTAATTATTGTTGCTTTAGATCATAATGGTAATTACAAACTATTCTCATGAATGTACAACACATGCTGAACACTTACAATACAAAAGGTGTGGTTACTCCTGACAAAAATGCAAAGAGAAGTTTACAGAAGAGCCTTTTTACTAAAATTAATAAGAATATGACAAGGTATCAGTCTCACTGTGCTCAGAAACATATCACAGCATATGTAGTGAAGGGGTAACAGGAAACAAAGATCTGAGAAAGGAAAATTCATTTCTCCTGCCTAAGGAATTAATTCTGTGCAACTAAAATAAAATTAGAATGACATTTTGAAACCTGATTAGAAATTTATTCATCATCTTTTGATACATTGGTAATTTTGGGCATTGTGTGAAATAATAATCTGGACAGATTTTTCCTCACCAGACACCTGAGGAGACATCAGCTCTAGTGAAATACTGTATGACCATTATTAGAAATATCTTCTTATACTGATGAAGTTAATAAAACTACTGAATTACTGCTGGTAAATAAGCAAAGAAACATCACATACATATGTTAACACCAAAATAATTCTTGAATGTATGATATTAGAGGGTGGTTGATCCATAAACACATAGTTTTTAAAATCCAGAAATTATAATGATTGAAAAATACTAGTGTTTGTGTTAAATAAGAGGTTTGCCAACAATATAAATCCATTACTCAGTAAGGAAATAAAAGAAGATAAAAGTCTGAATTCTTTTGAACCCATTGCTAATGTTCCAAAGGATATTAGGCAATTATGATCAGTTAAAAATGGAAAGGAATGAATGTAACTTCTTGCATTGAACAGTACCATTTTTATGTAACTCATTCAACCTCTGACTGCTTTATTTACCAGCAGCATTTTACTACCAAAACACAGTTATAAATTATGAATTGTGCCACTTCCTTTTTGGAATAGAACTATTGACATTACCTGAATCACAACAAACAAGTCAAACAACTCAAAAAGGACACCTAAGCCTCAAGACACCCTCTCACCCATGGTGTCCTGATTGCTTTCCACTGCTGGTAGACAATCTTCCCACTGCTATTTCACAGCTCAGATTAAAGCTGTAGGAAGCAAACTTTGCTATAGTTGACACTGAAAATTAATGAATCAATGTCATCATTCCCTAAGACATGAGTTTATCCACATCTGTTCATGTGATCTATTCCATGCTGAATGAGATTTGGGGTGGCAGTTGTACAGTGCTTATAAAAACTAGAGAAACAATTCTATACACAATGCAGAGTCATCACACCACAGGTTTTATTAAAAAATAAGCAACGCTGAAAATGACGTTCCTCTCAATTTATGAATGTACCTTCTCCATCTTTGCTTGTGTTTCTGGGTACTGTTAGAGGTTGGAGAGGAATCACAATGTCATCCACACTGGTCCCTTCTTCTGTGTGTTTCTCGGAGACATGAGACAACAGCTCGGACTTATTTGGTGAAAATAAGTTACAGAGCTTACACATGAAGATGGAATTGCTCCCTGAAAAAAACAAGTTTAAAAACAAGGAATCAGCGTTTTCAAATGTAAGTTATTTATCTTACCATGAGTTACTGGGATTTTGGTTCAATCTATATAATTATAATATATATTATATATTACAGTTATAATTATATAATTATTTAAATTAGTTACTATATATATATAATAACTATAATTTACTTAAGACATATAACAGGCATATAATGAGGTGAAATAATGAATGTTATATCACTAAAGGAACACATCCATAATACATCCCCAAATAAATTAATTTAAGGAATGGGTCAACTCCTAGCTAGATCCTGATAGGGCAAAAAATTTCTTCTAGCTGAAATCTTAGAAATGTTTTAATGTGGCACAAAAGGAAGAAGAACAATTTAGACCTTTTTCCCCTTACAGCCTCAAACATCATTATAATTTTATATATTTTTAAATACATGATAAAATTTTATGTAAGATGTAACATCCTCATCGAGTACCATGAAAAGTTCCTGTTGATTTAAGAAAAACAAACAAACAAACCCAACCCAACCCAATAACAAACTAAAAACCTTCCAAGAAGCAGGAGCAAATGAAGAGTCATTAAAACTCTCCCTGGTCAATGCTTTAAACAGAAATTTGACAAAATTTTTAGGCAAAGCTTTATGCTTTCTATTTTAATTCGCAGGTACTTGAAGTGTAATGTAAAAACAAACCCTCAAGAACGTAAGGATTAATATAATCCCAGATTTAAAAAAACTCCAAAATTTTGGCCAGACAAATTCAGAGGACTTTGTTTTCTAATACTGCAGTCTTTTGGTTTAATGGTTGATTTTTGAAGAGTCCCTACTCCCTTCAGGGTCCAATGAAACCAAGAAACAATCAATTATAACAGCAATTTGAAATTTAACAGCAATTGAAACCAATTTTAACAGCACACTTGTTCTCCAGCTCCATGTATGAAGTTCTGGCCCAGAGACTGGTTTCAATTGCTACTCTCCCTTCACCTTCCTATGGAAAATTAGGAACATAAACCCTCTGAAACAAAACTGGAATTTTTGTTCAGCAGCATTTATGAGGTACAAGTGAAACCAGAATACAGATTTCTGTACTGAGTAAGTACAGAAATAAAGTTATAGTTTGTGAACTTTGGGGTGTATCTGAGGGTAAGAGGACAGGGAAGCTGCATTTTGGGACCTAATTTTAAAAAAACCTAAGGGCTCCCCTACTGAACATTATTCCACTTCCTTTACAACACACTAATTATATAGCTCACCCAAAAAAATCTTTATTTAAGGAGTCCTGAAAGTTGAGAGCAGCAGAGGTGTCTCTTTTACAGGTATTTGCACTTGAAATGGAACAAAAGCACAACTCAAAACTAACAGGCAGGCTATGCCTTCATCTCTTTCAAAACATCTGAAAAAACAACTCCAATACTGCCCCTGTTTTTCGAAATATCCTCTTATTACACACAAGCAGATATTTAAGTGTATGGTACAATCAACGTGTTCTTAGGAGCTTGGTTGGGCTCATTCTCAGGCATTCTGCTGTCTTGAGCACACAGATATTTCTGTTTTGATTGCAGTATGTTGAAATGTTCCTTTGAACATTTGAACTAGTTCTGCTCTAGTTAGCAATATTCCTTTTTTTTTTTTAAGAGGGCATGAAGCCTGTTATTGACCCAGCGGATAACAATTCTTCTCTTTAAATGTAAAGGCAAAATAAAACCTAGGAACATTTACCTGAACATTTAACCAACTGATTAACATTTAACCAAATGATTTAGCTGGCATTTCTACATTTATGTTTTGAGGTTTTATTTGTCATTGTTTCTGCTTCCTGACCTGCTGGCTATTTTCCCTAGAAGCTCAGGCTCAGTGTTCTGTCTCTTGTCTCCTCCTTCAAGACCTGCAATCAGTATTCACACACCACTTTATCTCTCACTCCCCGCAGGGAGGACTTGGGGAGGGACAGAGGAGCAAGAAGAATCCCCAGAAGCCTCTGTGAGTGTTTAAAGTGCTTGAACACCACGGCCACCCAAAGCCAGACATGAAGAGCCCAGGTGGCAGAGCACAGGGAGTCCCGGTGAAGCTGCAGGAAGCACCAGGAGCACACACAGATGAGCTTTACTCAGAGGTGAGAAAGAAACCAAACAGAAGAAATTATTTTGGGAAGTATGACTGGAAAAGGAGTCAGAGAGCAGAGGAAAAACTCTGCTGATCACCAGACTAAACAAGTATGGAGTAAACAAACAATAATTGATTACGCAGTTGCTAATTAGGCAGTGTAGCAATAAAGCAATGAATTATAGTCAATTAAGTGTAAAAATCAAATAAGGAGTAAGGTAATTAACTATGCATGGAATCAATGACTAATTAGTGAATAATTAATTATGTAGGAAATCAACAGAGCAATTAATTAGGCAGCAATTAAATATGCAGAGAAAGAAAGGAACAGTAATCAAGTATGCAGGTACACAAACATCAGGAAATTCAACCAAAACCAATCTGGGACATTCTGTTCACTAAACATGCTTTGTGGCAATTCATTATCTTCAGTATGCCCCTATAAAATGTGCTAGATATACACTGAAATAAATAATACCAATAATTTTCTTCTTAATTGACTATGTGGAAAATTAAGCTATAATGCAAGCGAAGCCTTTTTTTTTTTCTAATTCCTCCAAAACCCTCAGCATATTGTTTAATTAGGAGGGTTTTTTTTTCACTCACACTAAGTATATTTACAGCAAAAGGAGTTTTAACAAATGGATTACTAAAAACAAAGGGCAAGCTACAGACTAGGAAGCAGATTCCCTGATTCCCAATCCCCTTCACAAGGCATAACCAGTATCTATACTGTTTTGCTTTAAAGTTGGAGTGGGGAAGAGGGAAGGAGCAAGAAAGAAGCACTTGTCTTAGAAAGACATTGAAATGAACCATACTTAGGGGAATCAAGGAATATATTATTGTCATATGTACTTTTAACCACTGTATGACAAAACCTATTGCAGAATCAATTTTAAATAACCAAAAACTTTAATTTTGCATAAAAAGAAATGTTGGGTATTGTTTTGTTTTATTTTTAATAACTACTTTTACAAGACACACAGAGCAAGGACACAAATCTGTATTTATATACCCTAAATCATTCTAATGGATCCAAAACTTTCCACCTTTCCTTTCAAAGCAGGCAAGAGTTAACAACTTCTGTAAGTTGAAGTTCTGCAGCTCTCAAAAGGAATTAGAACTCCACAATTAAATACAAAAGTAAAAAGTTACTGGTTATCTGCTGGCCTGTGGAAAAAGATGATACAATCAATAACTATGCATCTAGTCAACCCTCTATTAACTACAATACTATACCTTCTACTAACTAAAATACACAGCAAAGAAGTTCAGAATACGAATAATTATTTATTTCTGTCTAAACTTATTACAGAGCGGAAACAAACTTTGTTGGCTCATCACCATCAAATTCTTAACAGGAACTTTCTGCAATTAAAAATCTTACTCCTCACACTAGGACTTGTCTTGTTAGGCTTTTTGGGATTTTTCCTCTTTCTGCTGTTTCTGTATAGATATGAAGTACAATAAAAAGTGGGAACAACTATTCAAATCAAATTATTTGTTTTGTAAAAGAACTTTTCACACACAAATGTAAAATACTGAAGTGTTTAAGAACAATAAACAAGACTTTTTCTATTTAAGGAGAAGCAATGAAATGTGAGGTACCAGTTAATATGAAACCAGCAAGTAAAAAGCCACTAACTTTTGTTTAAGACAAGTAACACTATTTCTTAGTAACAAAATGGTTTCAACTGAACATAAAAGAATGGGCAAATACAGGAGAAGAAATTATGATAGCCTGTACTACTGTCAAATATTTTAAAAATACTTATCAGATCTTACCCCTTTGAGTATGTTAGAGGCTTTTCATTTTCAAAGCCATCTCAAACATACAAAATTTCACAAGCATGTTACAGTGTATCTCTAATTTTTATTGATTCACTCCAAGACCCACATTTTTGGTTTGGTTTTTTTTTCGTGCCATTGTTATTCCACTTAAAATCTACTTTCTACAGACCACATAACATTTTAACCATTATTTTCATATAATCAAAAGCTTTATCCTTGGTAAGTGTTAAAGAAAAAAGAAGCACATAAAGTCTATAAACCAAACTATTTGCTACCATTAGAACAGCAGCACCACGAGAACCCTGTGCTCAAAAGCAACAAATTAACTCTACTAGAAGCAGCAGGTGGAGAATCAAAAGCTATTTTAGGTTTTCCTTGCCTGAATTCAGGCAATTCTAAACAGTAAGCAACAGTTGCTTAATTCACCAGCACAAAATGACAGCTGAGACAAAACCAACCCTGCAGAAAGCGTTCAATCAAAGAAGAGGAGCCCCTGACCATGACTGTTCTCACTCTTAGATGCTAACTAAAATCCAGCAATTTAATTAGCATTAGTTAAGTGCCACAAACTTTATTTTAACATTGAGAAAGACTGCTACAGCAATGCTACATGATGCATTCCTGCAAAAACTAAAAGATGATGCTAAAATCAATACCATTTAATATGGTTTTATGGAAAACCCAGTCATATATACATTCACCATTTTTCCTAACCAGCCTGTAAGTGAGGTTTACTCAATAACCTACATCTGTAGAGACTCTCAGACATTGCATACAAGACTAAATTACACTGAAATTTGTGAATGTTTATGATTAAGAAACAATATAGTTTAAAATTTCTACCTTTCCTGTGAGAGTGGTGAGGCACTGGAACAGATTCTCCAGAGAAGCTGTGGATGCCCCATCCCTGGAAGTGTTCAAGGCCAGACTGGATGGGGTCCTAAGCAACTGAGTGATCTTTAAGGTCCCTGCCAACCGAAATGTCCTGGGGTGACTTTATGATACTGGTATCCCCAATCATCTAGTTTAATGTTATATATTAAGTTCTGCACCTTTAAGACTGGCTTTGAGAGCAAGAGAGGGGGAAGAAGAAGCGCGCAGTTTGTGTTAAAGAAAAACATCACTCCCACACATCCTGCTCCCTGGCCTGAACACCCAGCCAAACCCCGGGAGCTCACGCCTGTGGCCCACCGGGGCCTGGGCCTCGGCACTTTTCCAACGCCAAAAGGACCGATAAGGGACTGAGCGAGCCGAGCTACACCACATGAAAAGGACTTTTCTTCCTAGACTTGCCATCCATCGAACAGCGAGAAGTTTTATTATTTAATATTATTCAATTTCTGTTAAATAAACAGCTTTTTCCACTTCTCTCCAAAGAATTTTTTTCTTGTTTTCCCTTTCCCAGACCAGTTAGTGGGGAGAGGGCATTTCCTTCCCAGACCAGTTGGTGAGGAGGGGGCATTTCCCTAAAAAAAAATCCCCATTTGGAGTTTTCCTCCCTAATTTGCCCTAAACTAAGACACCAAACCATTCAGAGATTCTATGATTTATACAATACAAATATTCTAGGACTGGAAACAAAAAAGCACACTAGTTAGTTAGGGTGCCTGGAATATGAGTTCATGAAGGTGCCATTGTGAGAAAAACTGAGCTGACAGCTCTGTATATAACTAAGAGAAAATTACAAGTCGAGAAATAAAAATGGAGGAGCGCCAGGCTTTACCCAAACAAAAATTTAAGGGAGTATGAAAATAGATTTAAATTAAGACTGAGATGTAGGTTACAAGTGAAAAAGACCACAAAGATAAAGGTGATTCCCCTTGCAGCAGTAAAAATCAGAGACTACTTTCAAATGAAGGACGAGAAAGAAATTAGTACATTTTTTACAGGAAAGAACAAAACAGTTTCTTATGTTTGTTTTTGTAGTTGCTTTTCAAAAAGTAAACCTAACTACTAATATAGTAATGCAAGAAATCTAAAAAAATAAAGTTGAAATGCCTAGCTGTGAACAAGGATTACTGACATTCATGCATTCAAATAAGCTTCTGATAAACATTATTGTCATGCCAGTGGGTCATTAGCACTACCAAAATATTGAGGACAAAGTAGGATGCACTGTTTTTTAAAAAAAATAAGGCCTTTTGGAAGCAGTTTAGGGTTAAATTTGATTAACAGTCTATTTTAACAAGTAACAGAATTCCTGAGGAATTTAAATACAGTGCATAGAAAAGCACAGTGTAAGAACTACACTACAACAACCTGACCACACGACTGCAAATGACTGTGACACACTGGAGGGGATAAAAGAGGTCACAAAGATAAAAACAATATATTGTAGGCTTTAATTAGCCATATGCAGAGTGGTTAAAAGTCAGGACAGAACAGGATGCCAAGATTAGACGTTTAGACACCATTAATGACTGTTTCACCCAGCAAGAACACAGGGAAACCACATGAGGAGAAACAGTTCTTGACTTTATCAGAAGTAAAACACAGGACCTTTTTCAAAGTGACATTATTTGAGAATTACTCTGTAACCATGATTAAAGTACTACTCAAAAGCCCTATTAAAACAGTGATAAAGAGTGAAATGTTTGTGTTTCACTTCAACAATGCAAACTATATAAAGATAAAAAGCATCTTTAACAAAACAAACCACTAAAAGGACTAAACAATTTCCAAGACAAGTTAAATCCTTGAAAGCAGCATGAAGGCTATTTAAAAGCATCATATTTGATGCTAATCATCAAAGAAGATTTTAGAAAAGGGAAGGAAAAATCTAACATAGCTAAATAGCAGTGAAATGAACTTTCAGTTCATTTCAAAAAAACATCTTCATAGAAGTTTCATAAAATGAGGAAAGAAGATCTAAATTGTGTCAAATTTAATGTAAAAACACTGAGGCAGGTCATTAAGGCTAATTTTATCAACTTAAAAAATAAAAAGCAGAATGCAGCCACATTTTAAAACATCTCAACAGTAATGGGCCCACCCAAGAGCCTGTGCAATGAAAAGTAATCTGTATAGGAAAAAGACCCTTCAAAGAAGGTGAGCCCATAGCAAAGTAAATTTTTCAATTTGTTGTCATTTTATAGTGGTTTGGAGAGGTTTTCTGTGAAAGATCTTTCAATTATAGCAAACATTTTAAAGACAGCCTCAAAACAAGGCTAGGAAATGCACTCCTCAGAAACAAAACCTTAGAGCTAAAACAGACCTATGAAAGAGATGGTCCTATAATATAAAGGCCTATTTAAAAACCATAAAATATCTGTACTGGGCTTACACATATCTTTGGATACTGTTCCTCTTTTGATATAGTAATAATCATAATCATCATTCTTAAAAGGTACAAAAATAAGGAAGATCAACAACATAGCACAGTTCCATACATGAGCAGTTAAATACATTAGATTTCTTTTTTTTTTTTTTTTTTATTTGCCTGGAAGGATGTAACTGAAGACTGGAGAAAAGGGAAAGTGTAAAATGAAGAACTACAAAAGCAGGTGTCATGAAGGACATGATTCCTCTGAAACAACTGCCTGCCTTGCAGCTGATCTCTCCCTGCTGCTGCAACTCCAAGGTGCATATCAACTTGGTGTCCAGAATTTTAGAAGTTGACCAGGAAGCACCAAGCTGATAGACAGTGGCTGGGGCTCAGCAAAGCCCATAAGAAAGTCTAAATCTCTATTCTGGACAAGCATCACTATGTGATTGCCCCCCTCTTACTCTTCTCTATTTAAACATCCATTGTGTGCTGTTAGGCATGTGAAATGCCAGGAGGGAAACAAAATTAAAAATCTAAATCACTCAATACTTGCTGATATATTTTGCACATCACAATAAGAACACTGCATAACTTTAATGTAGCTCAGTTCTTCCAGCATTCAAACAGCATCCTTCCCAGAGGTGGGCACAGCACTGCAGCTGAGGTCTCACCAGAGCAGAGCAGCGGGGCAGAATCCTCTCCCTCCACCTGCCTTGGATGCCACCCAGGACATGTTTGGTTTCTGGGCTGCCAGAGCACACTGCTGGGTCATGTCCAACTTGGGGTGTCCACCAACACCCTAAGCCCTCATCAGGGCTGCTCCAATCCATTCCCTGCTCAGTCTGTGTTTGTGCTTGGGATTGCCCCAACACAGCTGCAGGACCTGGAACTTGGCCTTGCTGAGCTCCTCAAGGTTCACCCAGGCCCAGCTCTGGCTCACCTAAACGAAACACATTGTATTTAACCAGTCTGACACTGTATTTGTGAAAAGAAACTTGCTTTTGAAACTACGTGAGTTTAACTGATGATGGCAAATAAAAGCACACGTATTTTTCTGTTTTACACACACCATCTTCACAAATGCTCCTGGAAAAAAAGTTAAATAAAGTTCTTTAAAATAAGACAACTGTCTCCAGATATTTATGTTGGCTAAACTATGTAAAATTCATGACTTGGATATAACATGGATTTAATGGAATATTCAAGTAACTAGGAAATTATTTTCAGTGTATAATAATCACCTGATCAAACAAAGAAACAGGATAGCTTTTGCATCATTAAAGAAAAATTAAAAGAACACATAGTAGATATGTTTATAGCAAGACATTTTTATTTTCATGTTCTAAGATCTCCCTCATGTGGCTAAAGACAACATTGCTTAAGGCACCACTGAAACACACTAATACACAATATCGAAAAATATTACCACTACCAAACACCAAAACCACTCAGAACCCCTCAAAGTAGAAGCACAAACTACGTAATCAGTCATCAATTTCAGGATGCACTGAATGAAACACTCTGAACCTGATTTTTGGAAGCAGCCATAATGGAAATGCATCTAAGGTCAGACACATCTCAGCAGCAGTAATACCAAAAATACTGAACACTCACAATAATTCTGGGTTCAACCACACTCAGAACCCTTTTTATTAAGACAAAGGTGCTCATATAAATATGAATTTATTAGCGGCACTAGTAGCAAGTGAATTATTTTGCACTAAAGGTTGGATCCCAGAATATAACACAGTCCTGGAATGTTTTTGCAATAGTCCATAAGTAACACAGCACCTGTTAGCTATTCTGTTACTCAGTTTACTCAGTTATTCTCCTGATAGTGCAATTATCCTTGGCATAAAATCCCATTTCGTAGTCACAGAAAAGACAGGGTTGGAAGGGACCTCTGAGGGTCATCTAGCCCAACTCCCTGCCAAAGCTGGATCACCTAGAGCAGGTGACACAAGAATGTATCCAGGTGGGTTTTGAACGTCTCCAGAAAAGGAGACTCCATGACATCCCTGGGCAGCCTGTTTCAGTGCCACCCTCAACATAAAGAGTTCTTTTCCATGTTGCAGTTGAACTTCCTGAGTTTTAGAGTTTTGCTATTACCCCTTAGTGGTGGTTTGAGCTGTAAACTATCCATCAGTACTTCATGGGACAGGTAGAAATAAGTCAGGGACTGACAACCAGAAGCCAGATTTGAGTATACAGGGTAATTAACAGACATTAAATTATTGCGACATCACAAACTTGTACTGCAACAGCACATAGGGATTGTGAAAGGCAGAAATCACATCCACAGCACTCCTAAGGCTGCCACCTCTGTGTAACTTTATTCACTGCTCAAACGAAAGCCAGGCCAATACAGGGCACACGAAGGCCTGACATCACAGTACAATGGAAACATCTTTAACACATCTTAAACATCTGCCTTCTGCAGCTGAACTGTGGGGACCTTGAGCTCGTAGCACAATTTAGAGTGGCTGCCAGAGGAGCCACTGTGTTCCAAACCCAGATGAGCACAATCATGGAATCAGAGGATGGAAAGGGGTTTGAACAGACCTCAAGGATCATCCAAGTCCCAACCTCCCTGCCACGGCCAGGGACACCTCTCACTACACCAGGCTGCTCAAGGCTTTATCAAGCCTGGCTTTGAACACTGCCAGGCTTGGGGCAGCCACAACTTTCCTTGTCAATCTGTTCCTGTGTCTCACCACCCTCACAGTAAAGAATTCCTTCCTCGTATCCAGACTAAAATTCCCCTCTTTCAGTTCGTACCCATTACTCCCTGTGCTATCACTACAGTTCCTGACCAAGAGTCCCTCTCCGGCTTCCCTGCAGCCCCCTTCACATCCCGTGGAGTTCCTATGGGGTGTCCAGGCTCCAGCTGTTCCCGACCCAGGCCGGACAGCCAGGACACAGCAGCACTCCCAGGCTAGGGCTGCCCGAGTCCTCCGGCGGCTTCCGGAGCCCCCCGGCCCCACAGCCCCTCAGGCCGCCAGGCAACGCGTGGCCATGGATGCTGGGGCGGCCGCCACTGTGGAACTACTTGTCGTGCGGAAGGAGCGTCACACAACC